AAAAATGTTCATGTTTTCTTAATATAGGGAGTTCATAATTGGGTAGAATGGTATGGTAGCTGATTCATATTCAACTATTTATTAGTCTTTATATAAATTATAACTAGCCTGTTTATAAATAAAGGCCTTTAAACTCCCCTCTCCAATTTAAACAATTTATTTAATGGATTTCTTCTAACCCACCCTTTTAAGGTGTGTGCCCTAAGTTTGGGAGCCTCTCCAGAGCAGCACTCCATAACATAGAAGGGGCTACTTTTGGAAGGAATCTTCTTCCCAGGGGCAAAAAGGAACACACTTTCTGCTTGTACAAGGGAATGGTTGTCATTTGTGATTACTCAATAAGCTCACAATGATCCCTTCCCTCTCTGTGTCCAGTACTGCATCTTTTGTCCTTGAGAAAAAGTGGCAAAAGGCATCCAGCCTAAACTATGAAGAGAAATAAAGCATAAAAAGATCTTAACAAATACACGAGTCTGAAATCTTGCTTGCTTAAGTGGTTGCTTATGCAATGCCCTGGGCAGATCAAAGCACCATAGGTCTTACACATGCCATCGTGGGAAAAGAAGGGCTGATGCAATTTGGCACCTAAAACAATGTCAAAAATATTGACACACAAGCTCCCCCTCAACACATTTCATGTATAGTCATACCTCCGTGAACGTCCACCCCCTCGATTGTCCACTTTGGCGGACATCCGCAACAAACCCAGAAGTACCAGAACAGGTTACTTCTGGGTTTGCCGCTATGCGCAGAAGCACAAAACCGCTCCACATGCACGCATAGAGTGACACTCTGTTCAGCATCTCTTTCGTCGAGCATCCGAGGCTCCGGAACGGATCCTGGACACTCGACAAGGTACCACTGTATTTCATGGAATCGTAGAGTTGGAAGGACCACGTGGGTCATCCAGTCCAACCCCTTGCAATGCAGGAATCTTTCGCCCAACGTGGGACTCAAACCCACGATCCTGACATTAAGAGGCTCATGCTCCCCCAACTGTTAAGAAGCTTTTGTGCAAATATTTATTTATTAAATTTATACCCTGCCCTTCCTCCCAAGGGAGCCTGGGGCCGCAAACATATCAGTGTTAAAAACAATACCATTAAAAACAAATTAACAACGTATTTAAAACATCTGAAAACGATCACCTGCTTTCACAGCAATAATTCCAAGGTTGCCAGGAACAACAACTTTCAGCTGCCTAACGCCTCGGTAAACAGGAGTGTTTTAAAACTCTTCCTGAAAGGTAACAAAGAAGAAAACAGACACACCTCACCCAATATGTCATTCCAGGCACCCTAAGGCAGGCCTGCACCACAATGTGTGACCACACATCCTCCCAGAGGACTTGGTAAACTTGATAAATGCTTTTGCCGCTTGCCTGAGTTTTTAGAAACTAGGATGGTGGTTGTCAAGCAGTTGGCAGGACACAATGCATGTCTTGTGGGCAGGACCGTCTTTAGCATATGCGCCGCCGGGGTGCAAAGATCCGCCCAACACCCCCAAATTTAGTTTAGCCACCCCCAAATTAACTTTTATTTGGGAGGAGGGAGGCCAAAGTTCTTGACCTTTTTTTAGGGGGGGCGAACTCAAAGTTGTTGAGCTTTTATTTATAGGGGAATTGCTAACCTATAACAACGACCCAGCAAAAAAAAATGCTTTTGTTTCCTGACTTTTCAGGAATATTTGATGCTAGGGAGTAACAGAGCAACAAGGGTGGGGGTGGGGACTTTCGCTCCATTGCTTTTCACTGCCGCCGATCGAGAGGGACCGGTATACAGTAGGTATACATTTTGGCGCGCCCCCAGAATTTGGCGCCCGGGTGCCCTGCACCCCTTGCACCCCCGGGTAAAGACGGCCCTGCTTGTGGGCTGCTTTCAACTGGGGAAGTTACAGGTCATACAGCTCTGCCCCAGGGAATCCACAGAACGCTTGGCTTCTGACAACTGTGTTGCTTGTTAAGGTGCTGGTCCTATTTTATGTTGTTTGGCTTCAGCAGCTAGTAAGCAAATCTTCCCCAGTGAAACTGTGGTTTTAACCACAATGGCAATGGTTGAAAGATCCAGATGAAAGCCTGGTGAAATTGTTACTGCGAATGTGTTTCTGCCATCCGCTTTGGTACCAGTGTCAATGCAGCTTTCTTGAAAGCCTTGATCTACTGCTAACAGTCACTTTGAAATGGCAGCAACAGGAGGAAGTAGTAAATAATACTTACAAACCTACCTTCTTACCTGAATATCATATAATTCCTGGTATTAAGTGCTTCATATTATGACTTTCTTTCCATTTTCAGAAACCTGACATGAATGGCATTATAAAACCACCTTTCCTAAGGTAGGAGTTTTTTGGTTTTTTTTAACATAATTAACAAAAATATTAAGAGCGTGAACCAATGTATAAGTCTTGAAAGGGGGTAAATGGATGGCTTGGGGATGGCTCCCCACCCCCCATAGACTCTTGCAAATGATTCAGATTACCCTATTGGCTTTTCAGGAAATGAGTTGAAATTATCTAAGTTGCCGTATTGCTTCTGGAAGAGCAAAAAATGACAGGTGAATTGATTCAGCTGCAAACCTCAGTCCTATAGTGCGGGCAAATGCAGTGCTAGATCTGACTCTTATGGTGTCTGCTCAGATTTTTCCTGGGTAGTATTTTATGCTGAAAGTAGAGTGGGGGCTGGAAACAGGGTAGGATTAAATAAGCAGCAGTGAGAGCTGTTATGCAGAACAGTATGGGGAACTTGCTTTCTTGTTCTATGTAAATGAGCCCCTCCTGTTGACCTGTTATCAGTTCCATTTTAAGCTAAAACAAATTATAATTGAGATTCTACAATCTCAATTTATACTTCAGACAAGCAGTTATGAAAGAGAAGTGTGTGGCCAGTAATGATTTTTAAAAGTTTAACTGGGTCATCCTATTTTATTTTTACTTTATGTATTTAAGAAACTCTGTAAAGCCAGCTAGAAAGTTGTTTTGAGAACAGAGCACCAGGCTGTGTCTCAAGATCAGCAGTGCCAGTGTGGCTAACCAGATTCCTGAGCCATACATGCAATGATGCTGGTACCATGGAGCCAGTGTGGTAGTGTAGCTAGCATGTTAAACTGTGGTCAAGGAGCCCCATGTTCTAATCCCTGTTGGCTCATGAAGCTTCCTGCATTATCTTGGGAGTCATTCCCTCTCAACCTAACCTACCCCACAGAGCTTACTTGTCGTAAGCAGGAGAGAAGAAAAGAACCAAGCCCATTGCCTTATGCTCCCCTAGCTCCTTGGAGGAGGTGGCATTTGATATAATAAACACAAATACTCAAGTGGTTTTATCACCTCCTGTGAGGCTAGACTGGAGTATACATTTATGGGAGGAAAATGAAAGTTGGCCCTTAGATCATTCCTCCTTGATAAGTACCTTGTTGAGTTCCACAATAAAGTGTTACAATATACTTTCAGTGTGTTTATAGTGCCTTTCAGGCAAGCCTCATAAAGTGGTTTACATAAAATTATTAAGGCATCAGTGAACTGTGTTGTTCACTTCCTTCCCAGGCTTCTCGAAATAAAATGATCACGTCGCCTCTGGCATTCTACCCCACTACCCCCAATAACTACCACCACCTTGCAAGAAAACAGTCACCTGGAGAACCTTAGAATCATATCATTGCAGAGCTGGAAGGGGCCACAAGGGTCATTTAGTCCAAACGCATGCAAAGCAGGAACCTTTTGCCCAGCGTGGAGCTGGAACCCCACAACCCCGAGATTAAGTGTCTCAGGCTATACTGGCTGAGCTATCCTTTCTAGCTGATGAAAAGTGGCGAGAGACAGGGCTTCTCCTTTGCTGGGTCACAACTGAATGTGTGGTCCCCAGCTGCCATCTCTTCTTCCCAGCAGCAGGTCCAAGTGGAAAGGGCAGGGGGGTTGGGAATTAGACAGCAATAATTCACAGCCAAACCCAGGAGTTTCGACTTCTGCTATTAAGTTTTTAAAAGCTGCAACAGGTCTTTTCTAAATGCCTGCCCCCTCACCCCCCCCCCACTATTTTGTCAAAGTTATAAGCTTCCTAACTACATATTTTGTATGGTTCCAAATATTTTAGTTAAAATTCTTTTGGGTATTTTTTATTACAGTGGAGAAAATCCGTTTGCTACCGTGAAACTCCGACCAACAGTAACAAATGACCGATCGGCGCCAATACTTCGATGAACAACAGTAACCCTTTTTTACCCTTCCTTGTTAAACACTGTCTTCAGCAATATGATTTTCAAATGCTATCTGAAGTTGTTGTTTTTAAACATTATTTAAATGTAATTAATGTGTACAGTAGCACTGGAATGCTGACTTTTAAAAAATATTTTTGCTTCCTATATCAGCTAATTATTGATGGGTTAAGATGCTTGAAAAATCTCTCCATATTACAGTGTGCCTTGTTTAGGAAGACAGAATTGTCAAAATAGGGAAGAGGTTTGAGTAAAATGTAATTACCAGCATAATTGATCATTTATTGCTCTGTGCAAGTTGTATTGATAGTCCTATGGGTAAGTTCCAATTATTATTTAAGTTTGCTTGTACTGTTTACTTAGATACATGAATACGCTTACCCGATTTTTAAATAGACAAGCCATTTTAAGGATTGCCTTAATATACGATAGAATACTATGTAAAGCAATAGTCTTTGTTTCTGCTGGGTAAGATAAATGTCTTAGAATAAAGTAAGAATAAATATTGATCTTCTGAATGTTCAGAGAAGTGTAATATCCTTAACATGGTTTGCAATATGCCAAAGCACAATATTATACTGTTTTCCTTTTAGCAAGATTCTATTGAATAGGACTGATTGAGACAAATTCTTTCAGTGATAAATAACTACAATTAGAAATCCTGGCTATTCCTTTGATGTGTTGTCCCTTTTTCAGGAGCATGACCCTCAGAGGTTGTCTTTAAAAACAGGCTGGTACATACAAAATGAAATACGGCTCATTACTGTATAAAGAATAACACTTCTAACACTACATATAAAAAGCACATGGATATATTTACATTTTACCTTTTTGATTATTACAGAATAACCAGGTAGCTTCAAGCCAATGTCTTAAGCAGTGGCTAAGGGAATTTTACAGAAAACGAACGTAGATTGACATTCCTTCACCATTTTCAGATGAACATAGAGACATTCTTGTGTGTGCATACAAGTATTTAAGTGAGGTTGGGAGCACGGCCTGAGAGGCTATTGTGGGTCAGGGAGTTGAACACACAGGGCCCAAGAGATTCAGTCAACAATTTTGGCAAGTGTTTGGCATGGTAAAAAAATGAGGGTTATCAAGCCACAAGGTGATCTTAAGTACTTAGCAGATATGTCTACCCTCTCTCTGCTTCTAGATCATCTTGTATTTACATTTCATCCCAGATTGTTGATAATGCAGGGCAAACCACTCTTTTCAAAAGTGCAAGGTAGAAAATGCATTTGTATATAAATGGATCCGTTCTTGCACATTCAGCATTATAGGTGCTTCTGAGCTTTACACAGAACTCTTCATGCCATGATTCTGATGAACAGTTCTGAAGACTGCATGTTGTTTTGCCTATAAAAGTTGCTCAGTTAAATACCTTGTCTGTTACATATACAAACTATGGAACAAATGCAGTTTTTAAGAAGAGGGCTCTTTTTTTAGCTCAAACCTATGTTTAATTTTTAATCAAAACTTAAATCAAAATCTCTGGCAATTTGTTTACAAGCTGGGAGGGGACACACACTAGAAGTCATTGTTTTTTATTAAGTTTCATCTTTGAAAATAGCACATCTATAAGAAGTGGAATGCTGTGCTGAGCACCTCTAAGTAAATGCACATAACGTGAGCGGGACTTTAGATGCAACATGCTTAACTTTCCATCAATCTGCAAAGTCTGCTACTCTAAGATACCGTTTCTTTGCTTCTCTATTTGTGGAGGTATTTGGTTACTTACTGACCTCTTCTACAAGCTTTTAGTAACCACAACGGAGAGGGAATGTGCCAAAACAACTGACCTGAACAATAAAAGGAAAGAGAGTTAATGGCTATAACAAAACATGACTTGAGATTTCAAACTGGTCTATTCCACTCTTCAGCTCTGCAAGATTCAGTTTATGACTGTTTTGGGGTGACTGGTAAAGGGAGGGTGGAAAGCAATCTCTCTTATCGCAACATAAATGTTACATGCCAGCTATTTTGCTTCCTAAAGTCAGAAGTTATGTGATCAATTAATTTTTGGCGTTGCCATTTGTATCACATACACAGAGTTTTATAGGCAACTTTGGTAGTCAGCTGTTCTCAGGGTTTCAGCTTTAACTATTTTGGACAGGGCAGGGCTCTAAAAGTGTGGCTGACAATTTAAATCAGACCAGCTGGAGGCTACGTGGGGATGGGTGAGTGATGTAAAACATCTGAGCGGCACTAGGTTGGGAAAACAGTTAAAATAGGACCCTGATGTAGAATCAACTCTCCCCATAGCCATAAAGCTCACCACGTGACTCTGAAACAATAACTATCTCTTGGTGTAACCTACCTCACAGAACTGTTGTAAAGAGAAATGGGAGTGGGGTAGAATCATATGCTGCTGTGAACTTTGGAAGACAGGATGTAAATGTAACTACCAATGACAACTACATAGAAAAAGTACTATGAAAATATACTCTTGTCACATCAAAGATTGGGGAACTTGTGGTCTCCAGATTTTTATCCACAAAATATAGTGAGTTTGGTTTTTGGGTACCCGAAGGGGGGGTTAATAACTATTTCTTAAAACAGCAGCAACACAAAAATAACTTTTGTATCTTTCAGAAGGAATTTTAGGTGGGGCAGGTGAACTCTGATTTCAGTGTTCAATAAGACTAGGTATGTGCAGCCCCTTTGGGTATAAGCAAGTAGTTGTTTGGACTCCAGTGTCTTGTGAAAACATTTAAAAATTACTTTGGTGCACAAGTAGTTACCTAAGCGAATGGTCTTTTTTGCTAAACCAAATGCAGATGATTAAGGTTGCTTGGGAGCATTCATGTATTTGATCTTAAATACTAGCAGAAGCATCCCAGCAGGTACTGGAGGCCTTCTGTTCATAGTTGTGGCATAACTTCCAGCTGTAGTTCATGTCCAGTTTTGCTCCTGGTACTGGGGTAGCCATTCAGAGCAGGGCTAGCCAACAAGGTGCTTTCCAGAAGTTGTTAGCCAACCATCAGGGTTTGTAAGAGTTGTAGTTTATGCTGGCTGAGGCCGATAGGCTCTGGAAAGCATCACATTGGCTGCTTGATTGAGGGCAAGCAGCTTTTATATCTGCAAGGACTAACTAAATCTCTCAGTTTTAGATCAGAACCAGCAGTCCACAAGCAATGTGCATGCATGTATTTTTCACTGCCCTGAGCTTCCATGCTTAACTCTACAACCTTCATTGGCATAGACATTAGGGTTTTTCTTAAATATTAAGAGTGCAAAGCACACCCGGTCCCCTTTCCAGAAGCCAAGCTCTGAGCTGGAAGATCTTCACCTAGATTTAGAAAGGGGATGTGTGTCCTCTGGAATATGTGTAGCACTGATAACACCACATCAGGGGATACATATAAGGCTGGACATCTAAGAAGCAGTGTTTGGAGCAAGGCAGTTGCTTAAGATAATGCGCTGGTCAAATAAATGTATCTAGTGGTACCTTGTGACAAGTTCTGTCAAGTATATCCAAAGATGTGGCACATGTCAAGCATTGTGTTCGAACTTGTAGTACTACCCATGAGATGTGTGCATTTCACATGTGAATTAAGGGCAAACCAGCTGACTCCTAGCTCACAGCATTCCTGACACACTTCGCATGTTAAACCAGTTTGCGGGATTTAGAGGCTGTTGGTTCAAAGAGGGGCAGAGCCTAATCAAGGGGCAGACAGAGTACTTGCACCCCTGTATTCCCAGAAGTAGATTTTTAGGTATGATGATGCTGAGACACAAATGTATGTGTGTAATGCATAAGCTGTGTGTTGTATTCATGCTATATTTTTCATAAAAAAACAAGTTGCAGGAAACAAATTTGTGTTTTAATTGTAACCTGCTTTGGGAACACCTGAAGACCCAACTATAAATTTCAAATTAAATAAAGGTGGAGATGAAATTGGTGGCTTGGTGGTGAGTTCAGACTGCATTTATTAGGCAAAGATGCCTAATGGAACAAGCCTACCTTAGCTTGTGGTGGTTAACATTTGCACTGGCATTACTAAATTTTAATTCTCTTTAGAAGAAAGAGCTGGGCCCCAGTGAAGTTGCAAAAACCCACTTTTATTTAAATTTCCAAAAGGTGCATTTTAAACAGAAAGCGGGGGTGGGGGTGGATTTGTGTCTTACACACACACACACACACATGCTCATAGATCAGTTTCGCATGCAAGAGAAGAGAAAGAGACAGACTAATTTCATCACACTTTTACAAAATCATCTCTGAAGCATAAACTTGATTGTACATGACATTTACATTAGAAAAAAGGTACTACAATAGTTACAGCTTCCAAAAAGCCTATTTGTGTTGATCCCTTAACCAAACGTTGCACCGCAGTTAGGACATCTCCGTTGCCTCAATGCAAGACAGAAGAGAATTCCAATAGGAAAGAATACGATGGCACAAAAGACACCGAGACAGGTGAATGTGTCTTCCAATACACCAACTCTGCAAGAGAGGAAAAAGTAAGTTGCTATAATTGCGCTTTAAAAAGAAAATGTATAAAATGAGCACCAAGCTTGACAGAATGACAAACTTTCTGAAGATTGGTCTCTTGCAGCAATACAGTCTATAAAGCTTCCATGCACTTTTTTAATGTCTCTTAGATGACAGAAATATGTTTTCGAATAAACTATCCCTAACAAGTTGCTTTCCACACACTCATCTTCAAAGCTAGCTCACAACTTATTTTTGAATTTTTAGCTACACAAAGACCTTTGCTTAACAAATACATTCGAGAACCAAGGTACGATGGTAATCCATTCCGGGGGTCCATTCAACTTTCAAAAACCAAAGTGCGGCTTCCAAGTGGCTGCAGGAGCTTCCTGCACTCAATCAGAAGCAGCTTCGGACATTCGGCTTCCAAAAAATGTTCGCAAACTGGAACACTTCCAGTTTTGCCTGTTCAGGAGCCAAAACGTACAAGTACCAAGGCGTTTGAGAACCAAGGTACAATTCTAACTTAAAACAGCGCTACTCAAAGTGGTGGTCCCCAAACAACCACTAGCTGCTAGTCCCTGACAACTCCACCGCAGCCCAGGTTGGCTGGGATGCTTCAGAGACCAAATATGGTACCAGTCCATGGGACATTGGGGGGGTGGGGAATTTGCCAGTCCACCACACTGGCTAGCTTTGAAAAGCACTGACTTACAGCACATTTAAAAACAGATAAAAGCTTCAATACAAATCAAAATAAAACCTAAAGAATCAAGTTTTTAAAAATATGTGTTTAAACCCTTTGGTTTAAAATTTTATTTTTTGAAGTCAGAAACGTTAATGGACTACAGTAATGCAGCACTTTTTAAAAATTGCTTTTGAATTCCCATTCTCCCTCCCCTTACGAAACAACACTGTATTTTAGCCAAGAGGCCCTGTGATGACTTAGCATTCAATAGCTTTCGAAACTGAGATAAAAGGTCTCCCTTGTTTTGGTCGAGAGGCGGGCACTTCTGCTGCCAGACCAGATGTTTTGAAGAAACGCCCTTCCAGACATGACTAGAAGCAATTCATGGACTGTCAGACATTACCAAGGCTTACTCTGCATGTTTAACGTTAGGATGGGAGACAGAGAAGAAAAGAGATGTGGCAATTGTCCCCAAATAGCCCATTACGTAATATGTGCGACAAACGTGGAGAGAGGCTTCTCATCTGCACCAACAAATGAGCTTATTTCCTTTGGCAACTTCTTCGTTTGCTTCCCAGTCCAACGGAGGTCACCTCTCCTAGAGAGAGTTTTTCCAAAGCCGTTCTTAAGAGCCGTGTGAGATTCCTTCAATCACACAGAAAGCTCACCCTTCACTGATGTCTCAGGAGAAACAGATCCCTGGGGGGGGGGGGTTGCTGGATTTTCATAGTGGGGGGCAAGGGAGAGTTCTAGGCACTCAGAATCCGCTCAGATGGGGAAAGAGATAGCCTCAGCATTTTTACTCTGGGTAAAAGTCACAAGTTTTCTCAAGAGCAGAAGTGGAGCAGTGTTGATTTCACGAAAACAGTGGGCGTCCTTTGGCAATCACATGTGCAAGAAAAGCCAAAAAGAAAAAGGGAACTGGAGTGACCTTGAAATGCAGATGCAAATGTGTTTCAGCAGGGGCCAGTTGCCAGCAATGGACTCTTGCCATTTCTCCAGTGATGAAAAGAGCAAGCTACACAGAACAATAGCACACAGTTGACAAAAGAGACACGGGGGGGGGGGGCGCTGGGAGAACGAGCGGCAGGTGGAAGGTCTATGGTGTCCAAACCTTTTTCAAAGAGGGCCAGATGTGATGAAGTGAAGGGCCGTGAGGGCCGACCAAAGTTGTTATCATTTTTTAGGATTAAAGTTGTGAGCCTTTTTTTAGGATTTTACCCCACGTTACGGTTCGGAAAAGGGAAAGTTTATCTGCTCTACCCACTTTTGTCTCAAGCTCTGCCTACCATAGGGATGTGGCCCCCCCAGAAGGGAATGCGGCCCTCGGGCTGAAAAAGGATCCCTGCCCTTGTCCTAGACCCTAACAGGCTGCATTGCTCCTTTGCTGCTAAAGTAGGGCAGCCATTTATGCATCACACCAAAAAAGGGGGACCCAGATTCATATAAAATCTGCCCATGCTAATTTTAGGTGTAGCTCACCAACGTGGTACCTGTGGGTGCAGATGTGCCCAGAGAGGCCTTCCCTGGTGCCCATGAGGTCCCCTTCCCCTCACTGACTTAAAGTATGTACTGGAAACCAGGCATTCAGTGTTGCAGCTCCAGCTCTCTGGAATCAACTGCAAGCCAAAAATGAGACAGAAGCCTAGTGTGATTATGTTTCGGTGCCTACTGGATACATTTTTGTTTAGGAAAGCTTTTCTTGCGGTGTAACCCAGTCATTTTGTGGTTTTTCAGAGTTTCAAGTATGGGTATTTTAGACCAAGTATGGGTATATTCACTTTGTGAAACCAATAGAATTATTCTTGGAATTCCCACCAGCCGCAACCCAACAGCTCCAGCATCCCACAACCAGGCTAGCCGGGGCTCGCTGGATTTGCAGACCAAATACAGTGGTGCCCCGCAAGACGAATGCCTCGCAAGACGGAAAAACCGCTAGACGAAAGGGTTTTCCGTTTTGAAGTTGCTTCGCAGGACGAATTCCCCTATGGGCTTGCTTCGCAAGACGAAAATACCTTGCGAGTCCTGAGATTTTTTTCGCTTTCCCCCTTTATCTAATCTGCTAAGCCTTTAATAGCCTTTAATAGCCTTTTAGCAGCTAATCCCCTAAGCCTTTAAGCCTTTAATAGCCGCTAAACAGCTGATAGCGCTAATAGCGCTAATCCGTCAATGGGCTTGCTTCGCAAGACGAAAAAACCGCTAGACGAAGACTCTTGCGGAACGGATTAATTTCGTCTTGCGAGGCACCACTGTATCTGGAGCTCATCTGGTTGCCAAGGGCTAGACATGAAGCCTAAGGGTGCTGCCCAATGAACACTGTGTTTGGCAGTTGTTTGCAGCGTTCCCACTGCTTAATTGTAGGCTGAACATTTCCTCCCCACTCCTTGTCCTGCCTGTCTTGAGTCTCAAGGTGTCACCCGTAGAGAAGCGGACTGAGACGGGCAAGGAGAGGATACAGGAGGAAGCATAAAGGAGGGGGCTGAGTCCCAAGAACAGAGGCTGGAGGATGTGGGTACCTCCCCCTTCCAGGATGTGGCTCTGCCAGCTGGGGAAACAGAACTCCCATCTCCCTGTTGCACAGCAACAGGATCCAGGAAAGGCATCGGCCCATCATTTGAGGTAGAGGGACCACAGTCCAAAGAGAAGGACACTGACAACTCACCCAGGACCCAGAGACGCTTCTGCCGCTGGGAACAGTTGCATTCTCCCCAATGCAATGAGCATCTGCACACTGCAGGAGTAAACACACTTTTCTCATCTTCAAAAGCTGGGTGTGTGGGTGTGCCAACCCATTGGGACTGCTCTGCTGCTTCCATGCAGTTCTGACCTCCTTGCCCTGATCTAGGACTCTTTCAACTCAAGACCGCTGCTTCCAGTCCAGCTAGCTCACGTTTCCTGCCATCTAGCCTGAACACAGCAGCTGCCGTGACTCATTACCTCTTGCTGAGCATGCATCTTTTCTCTGCCTCAATGGAGATTTCTGTCTTGCACAAGAAGAGCCCTGCTGGATCTAGTCCAGCATCCTCATTGGCCAACAAGACATCCCTCAAGCAGGATCTGAGCACAAGAACCCTCCCTCCTCTGACTGTGGAGGCAGAGCATAGCCAACATGGCTAGTAGCCCTTGACAGCCTTATCCTCCAAGTAAGTGCCTGTCTCCATGGGCAGGGCAGGAGTCAGGATACTGCCTTAGCTCACTGCTACCCATGTAGAGTTTTGGAAACACAAATAACACACTGTTTCCTACTTGGGAGTTGCCTCTTAAGATCAGATAATGAAGGAAGGGGAAGCCAGGAAGGGGACAGTAACAGGCTTCATTTAAAGACAGGCTAATCTTAGCTATAAAGTAAGAGTTTGCCTGGAGAACTTAAGCAGCTTTCCTGTGGCTTAAAGCCACGCCACTCCCAGAGGCTCTAAAAATAGGCAGCGTTTATTTATACCACAAGCAGGGGCCCTCACTTGAGCTGCCTGGCGGCTGCTGCTGCTGCTGCTTGGTGAACTATTAGGATTTATTAAATAGTTGTCCGCAACACCTTTGGTCAAATGTCATTGCCCCTTTGCCAAGCCAGTGACAAAGTTCTCAGAGTTAGCATCTCCCACACCGAAAAGAGGGGAATCTTTTCTATCAAGGACTGCATTCCAGGGAGGATGGGGGGGGGAGAGATCCGTCAGGGGCCACATGCTGGCGGCCAGGGAGGATGATGCCCATACAGGCTGGCAGGACAGAAGGCAAGGAGCCCAAGCAAAGCCAATAGCAGGCAGAGGCAACTAATTCTAGTTCTGTCACCCTCCCTTGCTGAATTCCACAAAAGCAACACTAAGGAGGAATGCCACTTATTGGACAGGAAGTAGGTAAGGCAGCAGACAGGTGAGGGTGGGGGTTGGCAGCGCCCCACTTGCCCCAATGGGCCAGCTTCCTCTGGCTGGCAGTGGGGGGGGGCTACTCCCTTTCCCCTCTTTCTTCAATCACTCCATCTGTTTCAGGTTTCCCTCCTGCTGTCTCGGTGGGCTGGGGAGCAACTGTGGCTCTGAGGCAGAACATCGGCTTTGCATTTAGAAAGTCCTAGGTTCAGTTCTGAGCATCTCCAGGGAGCACCTGGGAGAGAACCTTGTCTGAAATCCTGCAGAGCCGCACCACCTGTCCGTGTTGATAGTGCTGAGCTAGATGGACCGATGGTCTGACTCTGTATAAAGCAGCTTCCAATGGCCTATCTGGTTAGTCTAGCATCCTGTTCTCAACCATCATGGCTAATAGTCACTAACAGCCCTCTCCTCTTCACCTCTTTACTCCTTACAGCCACAAGGGAAAAAGAGATGCCTTTTCTCTACAACAGGGGTGAGAAATCTGTTTCCCAGCCAGTGCTGTTGGAAGCCAGCTCCCATCATCAGGCCCAGCCAGCATGTCCAAAAACCCCAGATGATGGGAGTTTGAGTCCAGCAATATCTGAGGGGTAAACAAGTTCCCCACCCTCTGGCTCCACAAAGCTCATCTCATGACACTTGTGAACCCTCTTGATACTTCCTGACACTTGATACTTCCTGATCATTCCACATTTCGTGTTCCTCTCCAAATTCCCTTTTACTTTGATCTGAATAATTATAAAACAATGTCAGCTGCGAGTCTGTCCCCCCAGAATATTTCACGGCCGGCCAGGCATTTTGCACCTGTGGCGCATTCAGACATAGGGATATACTGTGTTTGTTTTCCTGATTATAACGCTAGCACCTCTGTCCTGTTTTCCAATGTTCTTTTCACACCGCACTACCTGTTGTGTTATGGGACTGTGGCTTTCTGGCCAAGACACTGGCATTTCATTCACGCCAGCGGGCATGGTGTGAAAGAACAACAAACTTCATTGGGCAACGTTGGGAATCCATTTCCACACATGCCTGCTTCTGCTCCCCCACAAAAATAACACGGAAGAACTTCAGTCCAGGATGCTACCTTGAATTTTGTCATGTTACTCCTGCCATTTTCTGGGTTAAGGGGGATGCAAAAGATTTTTTCCAACCTGGAAACTAATAACACATCCTTCAGTGGACAACACAAAGTCAGAAAGTAGGTTTGAAAAAAAGTAATACTACAATAAAAAACAAAGTGGTCAGTTTATCACTAGGCTGGATACTCCAGGCGTGCTTGGCCTTTTGCCTCTGGTCTCGAAAAACACCCTGACCTTGCCTTTCAACGCTGCTAACGAATAAGCCAATTAAAGTCATGATCTTTGCAACGTGGAATCCGCTGGCTAAGGACTTGACTGGTGCAAGCTGCTCCTTGCTCAGCAGCTTCGACATCTTGGTCCAGGCAAGGGTGGGGGGACTTGTGGGTGCTGGGATAAAACTCCCACCAGCCCCAGTCAATTTGGCCAATGGTTGGGGAACCATCGAAGTCTAGTGATGTACTTGCCTGGTCTGAGACATTTCACTCCCCTGAGAGAAAGGATTATTTGCTGTCTGGAGCAAAACGAAATACTGTTACAATAATACAACATCACTATTGCATTTATTAAAACAGTTCGTTATGATCACAACTGGAGTGGATCCAAAAAAATATACAGCTCAGGTGCCAAAGGCCAGCATAAAGAGGAACATCTTCAGCTGTATAGTGAGAGTGCCTGGCACACCTTGGGGTGAGGAAGAGAAATTCAAGAACTAGGGGCTGCCGCAGAGAATGCCTTCTCTCAGGTCACCTACCAAACTTCTGAGGGAGGTAAGAACTACCAAGAGGGGCCTACGACATGTATAGAAGCAGATTGGATGGGCTTTTGAATCTTATATCAACACTGGTGAAAAGCAAAAATCTTCCACTGCCACCTGAGGGCAGGAGGCTAGTTACTGGAAAACAGGACAAGCCACACAGCATACACAAGTCTGTTGTCCAATAGAAGAATCTGTCCAAGGAACCAGCCATTTTGTGTTCTGCCCCACCCGCACAGCAGCCATTTCCTGACAAGAAGAATGCTACTTTTTCATTTAAAAAAAAAATGAAGGGGAAGAGACTCTAATCTCTCTTGCTGCAAGCCTCCCCACCCCCCACTCCAGTTTCACATGGATTTTTAAGAGGTCAGACTTAAAAAGAGAGAAGAGGTGTAACAGAAATGAGAACGGTCATAATACCTGCAAGCTGGGCAGCCGCCAACGACAACGACGGACGTGGTGGGAGGTTGCTGGATTATCGTGTACGTGGTGTTGGGGTAGTTATGCGCCGGTGGACCCGAAGGCACAACATATCCTGGTGGGGGAAGAAGCAGAAAAGGAGCATGTTAAATTGCTTTAAAAACATTTTGGAAACTAAGAGACAAGGCCATAGTTGTCGACAGCTGTCTAGCTTGAGAGGCAATGGAGTGTGTCTCCGGGGGTGAAGTCAAACCACTGTGTTAGGAGCACCAAAGCGACCTCTCCAGGGTGCAAACCTGGGCAATATGTATGGAGGTCCTGGGCTGCCCAGATGGCAAGACCCACCCACCCCTCTGAGCCTCGCTGATGTGATCCAAAGGGAAGCAGACCAACACGTTTGGCACCAGGAGTTGCCATGAGGAGACACACAAGATACCATCAAACCATCTTAGAGACCTCACTCTGGCTTTGTGTAGGGCTTACACTCCCTAGTGTAATGGAAAGCGTAATGCTGGTGGTCAACAAAAGAGGTTTAAAGACTGTGTCTCAAGGCAAATCTAAAAAAAAAATGTAGTATAAACACCAACAACTGGGAAACACTTGACCGTGAGCGCTCCAATTGGAGACCAGCGTTTACCAAAGGTATATGGGCTTTGAAGACACTCAAACTCAAGACGCAAGGGAGAAACATGCTAAGAGGAAGGCACGCTTGGCAAATCCACACCGTGATCAACTCCCACCCGGAAACCAATGTCCCCACTGTGATCGCGAAGTATTGGAAGACACAAGATCTACCCACCCGGGAAGAATGGCAGATGAAGGTGATGGACTACATGAAACTGGCGGAAATGACTGGCAGAATCCGAGACCAGGGAGAAGAGTTGGTGGAAGAAGATTGGAAGAAATTTAAAGTTTATTTACAGAGACATTGTAAAATTAAGGAATGTTAGAAGGATGTTGGAATGAAGTAATGTGGTTTTAGCAGAAATGCTATAAAGGATTAAGAAAAAACAGATTGTTAAATGGTGAAAGGAGGGAAAGTAAAGTTACATTATATTAAGATAAAATAGAGGACAAAAACTGGAAAAGATGGAAAGGACTTGCTGAAATAGCTAATTGAACTAGAATACAAAAAAGGGAGGTGTGAGGAGGTCAAAGAAACAAGCAAATGAAAGATAAGTTATGGGAAGATTCATTGTATTTTTTCTTTTTTTTCTTTTTTTCTTCTTTTCTTTATTGTGATGTGATGTTCTGTTTTTGCTTAATATGCTGTTTTCTATTTTTTCTTTTTGTAACCTTTCAAATCTTAATAAATACTATTTAAACAAAAAATAACAATGTCCCCACTGTGGAAGGACATGTGGATCCAGAATTGGCCTCCACAGTCACTTACAGACTCATTGTTAAAACCATGTTTATGGAAAACAATCTTACTCGGCTACGAGTGATCGCCAAAGAAGAAGACACTCCCTAGCCTTTTCTTCTCCTGAAGATACTCTGCCAAGGCAGATTTAGGATCAGAGTTTTCCTTCTCCTAGATGGGCTGCCTTCCCACGTATACGAGTTCCGTCTTCCCCCCTACACAGCACGTGCGGAAACTGCCTTCTTGACCATTGGACCCACTACTGGTCTCATCTGCTCAATCCACCAGCGCATGTCTTCGCATGCAAGCGACGTCCCTAACTCACCGAAGGTTTGAGACCCATCAGATGGCTACCCTCACTATAGTGTTGCCAGACGCCGGGAACACTAGTGCTGTGGTTGCAAAAGTTAAAGGAGAATCCTCTTTTTTTCTTGGGAACATTACTCTTCCAGAGTCTGGATTCGGGTCAAGTCACATTTCTGTTTACTCAGGGGAGAAGTCAGTCAGCTGATTTTTAAATGGGGGGGGGAGCATGCAAAAAGAGACTGTACAGAGACTCTAAGCAAACAGAAACTGTTTGCATGTAGAGACATACCTCTCCTGAATTCTCTTTATCTATTAGTTACAGAAATTGCTAAGCATTTTCTGAATGCTGCTCCACAGTTCGCCCCATGCCTTCCGAACATCAACACTTTCTTTTTAAAAAAATATATTTTATTAAATTTCCACAGATTTCACATAAAATTCCAATACATAATTTTTTCTTTTGTTCTATTGACTTCCCATCCCATTTTCAGTGGTAGTTTTTTTTAAAAAATAATTCCTCCCGTTGCTGCACCCAATCTTCGCTCTTTTATATCATAACCATACTTAATCTCCCCCTGTGTCCTCACTATCCAATGAGATAAAAATGAAATAAAAATATTTATATAAACTCATGCTGTATATCACATAAATTAAATAAGATAACTTTGTTTATAACATGTGAGAAGTATTGCACATTGTATTTAATTATTATTAATATTTAATATTACTATCAAAAAAATGAACTGTGGTTCAGTGTGATGTCTGAACGAAGAGTGTATTTATTATTTTTATTATTGAAAAACACTATTTATTTCAGGCATTCCTATCTGTTGAATAAAGTCAGCTTTCAAACCATTAAATGAGCCAAGGGTGGGGGAAGTGAAGGACAGATCTGTGTTAACACAGGCAATAAATAGGACAGTGGGGCCCTCCCCCTGCCTTGCTTCCAAGTGACCACATAGCTGATAAATCTTTATGGATTGGTATTTTTGTGGATTCATTCTTTCTCTCTCTCTCACGTGCTTCCTGGCACTCACTCATGCTCTCATGCACTCATCAAGATGGAACTGGGACAAAGTCTTCCAGATAAGACTTAATATTCACCATATGCAATAGCAAACTGTTCCTAGGTTTCAGTTCTCCTCGGTTTTCAGGCCTACGGACGTACACTCGGCTAATTATTAACTTCAAAGAGCATACTTTAGCACCACTGAAATGGCAAGAGAAAACCTACAGTTTGAGAACTCAGCCAAGGGTCCCAGTTCCCAGCCAAGAAAATGGATAAGTGCTTTATAATAATTAAAGAAACAGCCCACCTCCTCCTGCTTAAAAAACATCACGCAGCCAGGATCTCACAGGCAAGATGGCTGTGCCACAGGTGTCACTACTCACTACTCACACACCCAGCCCTTGGGATTTTCACGTGGCCATCAGACATTGCCATCAACATGTGGGGCTACCTGGAATTAAACTCGTTTACCCACTGTGACCCCCAAATAACCCCCCCAATGGAGGTTAATTATCAGCATCGCTCTACATTGGGAGCCGAGATCTGTGGCCCTCCAGATGTTTGCTGGACTACAACTCCCATCTTGTTTGACCACCAGCCATGCCGGCTGGGGTGGATTGGAATTTGGAGCCCAACAACATCCAGAGGGCACCGGGTTGGGGAAGCCTGCTCTGCCCTCCATAGGCATGGCACACGTTCAGTCCTTACTGTGGTGTTAATGGAGTGTTTATTAAATTCATATACCGCCCTTCATGCCCTCTTTGGAATAACTTTTTAAAAGTTAGGTTTTTGAAAGCCTCAGGATTCCCTCACACCTCTTTGCCAGCTCCCCTCAGTTTTGACTACCACACCACCCAAGTTCACTATTAGAAAGATTTATTTTATTTAAAGGAGGGGTGAGGAACCTTCAATCCACAGGCCTAACTAGGCCCACCAGGGAGATCCATTTGGCCAGTGAGGCTGTTTTGGCCCCGCCTGCCTGTCAAATATGACAGAGTGGCAATACAGTGGTATCTTGGTGTTCGAACAGCTTAGTTCTCGAACAACTTGGAAGCCAAACGCTGCAAACTTGCAAGTGACTGTTCTGGTTTGTGAACTTTTTTTCGGAAGCCGAACATACTCGGTTTTTAGTCCTCCGCTTCTGATTAGAGTGTTCCTCTTCCTGTTTGAGTTTTCCGTTTCTGATTTGAGTACCCTGCTTCCGATTAGATATTTGGAGCTTATATTTGGTGCTATTGTTTTTGCCTTTTTGTTTGCGTGGCTTTTTCCGTTAATTTTGTTTCTGTGACTGCATAGAACACAGTTCAGCTACTGATTAATTGATTGTGTGACTGCAGAAATGGATAAAAGCTGCAAAGCCAAGAGAACCATTAACAGAACAACCATAGAGGTAGTAAAATTCATGTTAAATTTCTGTTTTAGGGGTTGAAGTCTGGAACGGATTAATCCCTTTTGCATTACTTTCTATGGGAAAGTGCACCTTGGTTTTAGTACGCTTTGGTTTTAGAACGGACTTCTGGAACAGATTTAAGTGCTCTGTACTCTGTACTCTGAATGGTTTAACAGTCGCTCTCTCTCTCTGCAGAGATCGCTCCAAGCCATTCAGGTCACTTTGCCTGACTGGACCGTGCCCCCTGTACTCTGCTAACGCCTCTTCCTTGCCTGTACAAAGGTAGACATTCGTTGCTCAACCCACTCTTGCCTCTGACCCCACCCACAGTAGCATGCGGCCCCCCAGAAGGGAGTGGGCGGCCCTCAGTTCTCAGGCCACTCGGGTTCCAGAACGTTTTTCCCATCCATCCATCCTCCTTAACCGCAAGCTGAACTCCCCACAGGGTTACTAAAGAAGCATGAGCTCATCACCCTTTGAACTCGAACTGGAATTTTTGTCCCAAAGCAACCTTTCCTGGGCTATTTTTTACTGTGGCTATGACTTGTTGCAAGGGAACAAGATAACCTTTCCTTGAAGCTGATATTTCCATCAAGGAAAAAATGCTTCTTACAGGCGCACAAGCCTCAGATATGTTGTGCTTTGGGGAGAGAGGTTGGGGCTGAATACATTCCCCACTCCCCCAGCGAGTACAGTAGAATCTCGTCTTACGCTCGGGTAACGTAAACTTCGGGTTGCAAAAGCGGCAAACCCAGAAGTATTCTTCTGGGTTTTGCCGCATGCACAGAAGCGCTCTACGCACCACGCACATGCGCAGAAGCGGCACCTCCAGTTGGGAAACCTCGGGATCCAGCTGGAGCTCTGGAATGGATCCTGTCTGCAATCGCAAGTTTCACAAGAACCTACTAGGCAATGCCTGTGACATCACCTTTCTGGGGTCACGTCCCCAACTCCAAGAAACATTTCAGCATCAAAGTGCTTCCTCATTTTACCGCTTTGAAGAATGTTGTAGTTCGTAAGAAATGCAAGCCAGCTCAAGGGGAAAAGCCAAGAATAAAATATAAAATATTGATAGATGCAAAAGAGAGAGGAGCTTTTTCCCTCCTAGATATGAGATTATATTATGAAGCATCTTGTCTGTGCTGGTTGAAGGAATGGTTGACATTGAAAAATACGCATATTTTAGACTTAGAAGGTCATATTATTTTTGGTTGGCACGCTTATTTGTGGTATGAAAAGATGAACGTACATAAAGGATTTACAAACCATATAATTAGGGAAAATTCATATAGACTATGGGATAAATATAAAATTTTATTGGAGACAAAAACACCACTTTGGCTCTCACCATTGGAAGCCATAGCAGTAAAGAAAAAGATTATGATGGAAGGTTGGGCAACTTATAGAAATTTATTAAGAGAGGAGGGAGGAGAGTTTAAATTTAAAGAATTTGAGGACTTATCAGAAATATTAACAGCATGGATAGAATACCATCATTTGAACGAAGTATTTAAGAAAGACAGGAAACGAGGGTTTGGTGAACAAATGTCACAATTGGACATTAGAATGTAATGTTAAAGTGATGTCTTAAATCTGTAAGATATTATTGGAATGGGAGACAAAGGATGAGCAAATAAAATCTTCAATGATACACTGGGCAATAGATATTGGTTATAATATAAATATGGAAGCATGGGATCAATTGTGGAATATGGATATAAAATTTACAGCACGTTATGGTATAAGAGAAAATTACATGAAAGTGTTATATAGATGGTATCTAACACCTAGTAGATTGGCAAAAATGTAAAAATAGAAGTCGAATAAGTGTTGGAAATGCAAAGAGAAAGGTACTTTTTATCATATGTGGTTGTCTTGTTAAAGCTTACTGGGAAATGATATATAATGAATTGAAAAAGATGTTTAAGATAGCATTTGTTTTAAAAAAAACCCAAAGCTCTTCTCTTGGGAATTATAGATGTAAAGGTAAAATGCAGGTAAAGGACCCCTGGACGATTAAGTCCAGTCAAAGGCAACTATGGGGTTGTGGCGCACATCTTGCTTTCAGGCCAAGGGAGCCGGTATTTGTCCGCAGACAACTTTCCAGGTCATGTGGCCAGCATGACTAAATTTATTTATGTATGCAACTACAGCTGCAAGAATGCTACAAGTCCCAAAATGGAAAGAAGTCCTAATGAGAGAAGAATGGATACAAAAACTTATGGACTATGCGGAAATAGCAAAACTTACCGGAAGAATAAAAAATCAAGATAATAAACGTTTTGTAAAAGAATGGAAATGGTTTATTGAATATTTACAAACAAGTTGTAAACAGATAAAGACATTGGCAGGATTACGGTAATAACCTGCAGTTTCAAAAGAACATATAATTAAAATAGATGAATAAAACAGTAAGTTAATTTAGAATGTGCACGAAATGATAAAAATATATTTAAGGAACCGCAGAAAGAGGAGGAAGTTGAGGTTTGAAATGTTACAACCATTGTTAAACTATTGAAATGTATATAAAAGGAAACTATAAATAAAATTATAAAAAGAAAATAAATGCAATCCAGCTAAATAGCCCACTCCACACCAAACTATATTATCTCTGCCATTTTAGGGACTTTTAAAAACCAGTGGCCCTTCGGACATTGTAGACTACAACTCCCATCAACCCTATCATCTCCCTCTTCTCCCTCTGACCACTCATTGCTGTCCCACCACCACATCCGGGCTCTGGGCCTTCTTGTTCCCTAGTTCGTTCCTCCCACCATTCCTCTGTGTCCAACCCAGTCCGCGACAGGCTGGGAAGGCCGCATTTGGCCCATGGACCTGAGGTTCCCCATCCCTGCTAAAAATAATAAATATGCTGCCTTTGAACCCAGAGTTTCAGTGCAGCCATCATGACCAGGAACCAATGGTAAGGGGGATCAGAGGTAGTGGAAACCTGTGAGCCTGTTAGGACTCCCACTCCCATCAACCTCAACCAGTATGGCCAATGGACAGGGCTGGTGGGAGCTCTAGTCCAGTGGAATCTGGACCCCCAGAGGATTCTAGAATTCTAAGAGTTCTCTAGAATTGTTGGACGAATAAACCATAACAAGGCCTTGCTGAGAGAGGGAGAGTGGAATTCTACCACCATAGAAAAGGCAATCGTAATTCGGAACCTGACCTAAACAACGCAGATTCTTAGGAAGACTCAAGACTCAATTCTGGGAGACTCAAGTTCAATTCACAACCTTCCAACTCTGGTTCCTTTTGTTTAACAAGTCTCAGCAACTCACAAGGCTCTGGCATATGTGCAATGTAAAGAGCTAAAAACAAAACATTTCTAAAATAGGGGGGGGATGGGAGGTATCTAAATTACATATATTTTGTACCTACTATTCCCCCAGACAGTATTAAACTTTTTATTCAAAAAAATCATATGAAATGTTTAAACTGTTTTGGAAGCCTTTTCAATCAGCGTAGCCGGGCTGGCTGAATTTTTGCACTGTCCAATTTTTAACAGGGAAAACAGAAAGGGAAAGCAGACAAGCCTTTCTGAGCTGCCTTTTTAAGGCAGGAAATACAGCTTGCTTTTTTTAAAAAATATAAAAACAACCCTTGGAATGTTTAGCTTGGGAGCTCTAACAGTAACTGGAAGAAATCCTACTTCTCGTGCAACAGCTTCTGGACTGTTTAAAATCTTAAATTTGAAGCCTTAAAATTATTATCTAGAAAAGTATGTTGTTGTGAAATAACTGGCACTTTTTATTGTATTGTTTTAAGGCTGATGTGTTTGCCACGCTGGACTCCTTTGGGAGGGAGGGCGGAATATTACTTTAATACATAAATCTTTCTACAGAAAACTACCATTCCTGGGAACCAGTATACGAGTCCCCACTCTTGCATACAGTGGTACCTCGGGTTACATATGCTTCAGGTTACATACGCTTCAGGTTACAGACTCTGCTAACCCAGAAATAGTACCTCGGGTTAAGAACTTTGCTTCAGGATGAAACCAGAAATCGCATGGCAGCGGCACAGCGGCAGCAGGAGGCCCCTTTAGCTAAAGTGGTGCTTCAGGTTAAGAACAGTTTCAGGTTAAGAACGGACCTCCAGAATGAATTAAGTACTTAACCTGAGGTACCACTGTACTTTTATTTTTAAATAAGGTGCAACTGATTCAAGAATAAGAAAAATGTTTCCTAACCCAAACTTTTTATTTTTATTTTTTTTTAAGGCAGGAAACTTCCTCAAGTGTAGGGCAAAGAGGGTGATTTGCATAACCCTGAAATCCCGTTTCCCCTTCTTGACATTGCAAAAGTTCTCCTGCTTGACAGCTGACAACACGCAACAAGAGCAGCGTTTCCTATCGCAAGAACTACCCACTTAGCCTGACTTGGGCGCCCAGTATCTGGGACTCACTCCTTTCCCAACATCCAGGGGCGCGGGAGAGTCAAGCCAGTCTCCTGCCCTGACCACGTGACCCGCCTTCACCCACACCCCTCCCACCCCAAACCTCTGTCTGCTGCGGCCGCCAGCACGCAGTGTGGATGGAGACAGGCGAGCCCCCCGGTGCCTTTGTGGGGCTGCAGCCCCCCATCTCCCAGTGCTCTGAAACCTGCCTCACTCCTACAGGTTCAGGAGAGGGGTGATCCTCTCCTTTCAACACCCCTCCCGCAGAATCCACACCCAGATCCTCCTTGCCCGCCCCCCTTTCTCCCGGCTTACCAGCTCCAGGACCGGTGGGGTAGGTGTAGGGCGGCGGCGGCTGGAAGCCGGGCTGGGGCGCCGGGATGGCCCCGTAGCTGTTCGGCCCGTACTCGTAGCCGGCGCCCGCTTGGCTAGCGGGGCTGTAAGCCGGGGGTCTATCCTGGAGGAGGGGCTTGCTGTCCATGATCCTCGAAGGGGAGGGCGGAGGAGGAGGCTGCTCCTGGCCGCCCCCGCCGGGGGATCAGCCGCGAGGAGAAGCCCGCAAGGCAGGCGGGAGAGCGCGGAGGGGCGCGCAACTCTCCGAGGAGAGGCGGAGAGCGCACGGCAGGCTCGGTGCCCGGAGGGTGGAGAGGGAGGGCGGGAAGGGAAGGCAGCCTCGCCCCGCTAAGCCGGCAGCTCCAGCTCCAGCAGCAGCAGCAAGCCGCCTTGGCCCCCTGGGCATGGACGGATCCTGCCCACCCGCGCCAGGAACGCACCCGCGCAACTCCGGAGCTGCACGGCGCGCCCGAAGCGGCAATGTGCTTCTCTCCTCGCAGGCCAGTCACAAGACTCGGGCTCACGTGACGCCGAGGAAGAAGAGGAGGAGGAGGAGGGAAGAGGAGGCTCCCCCGGCGGAGACACGGCGGAGACTCCGGCAGGCGCAGGGAAACCCCCTCTTAAAGGAGACGCCCCGGCGCGCATGCATGTGCGCGCGCGCACTCTCTCTCTCTTTGCGCAGCTGGCCGAGGGGGTTCCAGGGCCGGGTGAGAGCCTGGCGGGGGCCGCCCCGCTCAGAAGCAGGAGGAGGGCGGAGGTGGGGCAAGGGCTGGCAGGCCGCCACTTTTTGAAAGAAGCGGAAGGAGGTGCGTTCTCCCTCGCCAGTCTTAACTAGATCAGAGGTTAAGGCCTATTGGATGCAGTGGGACTCATGGGCGTAATAATAATAATAATAGTAATAATAATTTATTATTTATACCCCGCCCATCTGGCTGGGCTTCCCCAGCCACTCTGGGCAGCTTCCAAAAAAATATTAAAATACTGTAGTACATCAAACATTAAAAAGCTTCCCTAAACACGGCTGCCTTGTGCTCGGAAACGTACTGGGAGCCAATGTAGGTCTTTCAAGACGGGTGTTATGTGGTCTCGGTGGCCGCTCCCAGTCACCAGTCTAGCTGCTGCATTCTGGATTAGTTGTAGTTTCCGGGTCACCTTCAAAGGTAGCCCCACGTAGAGCGCATTGCAGTAGTCCAAGCAGGAGATAACTGGAGCGTGCACCACTCTGGCGAGACAGTCCGCAGGCAGGTAGGGTCTCAGCCTGAGTAGCCTGCCCCCACCCCATAATGTCCTCTTTGTGGGGTGGTTTTGAAGGAAGGTGAGGACAGGTAGGCCCGAAGTCACCCCCCACCAAAGCAGGCTCAAAGCTTCTCAAAGCTTTTCAAAATCATTTTCTCAGCAGCTAAGCATCAGAAACATTCCGCTCTGCTGTAACAAAGGTAGAGAAGAGTCCATTGTTTCTCAGGCCTTTCTCAGGCCTTCTGGCCTTGCTAAAGAACCACATTGCAACTTGCTTTCTGTCTGGGAACCATGCCAGAACAAGAGATTGAAACATATCTGAACATGCTGAAAACCCCCTCGGCTTCTCATTCCCCCTTTCCTGGGAAGAGTCCAATAGTCCCAAGACAGCTTTCTGTACATGCTCAGGAACCTCAACATGGGGCAGGACTCCTGAGGGAGGAGAAAGGAGGAGGGAACTGGAAAGGGGTATATATGCTTGTGCACATGATTGTGAACTTGTGCATGCTTTTTGTGACTTATCACACTTGCTCCTTCTACCAGTTCATGGATGGTAGAAATAAAAGCCTTTTCTCCGAAACTATTCCTTGAGTGTCTGTTGACTCCCACTTCCCTTTCCCAGGCGCAATATTTTTCCCACCCGAGGGCAAAGCCTCATAAGGCTACAGTTTCATTAAAAAAAAAAAACCTCAACAACTTTGATTCCCTAAAAAAAAAGCAAAAGCTGCCCCCCCAACAAAATTCCTGGCTACGCCCATGGTGGGACTGCTTACTCCTAGCATAGCCAGGATTTATGTGGGGGGGGGACGCAGGACACCCACCTGTCCAGGCATGCCAACTTGACTAAAATATGAGGGGAGCTCAGGTAAGCCCTGCCCTGTGTAATCAATCACATGACATGGTGCATACACACCATTCAAATGGCAATGCCCATGACCTTTGCGGGAGGGGGCGTTTCTCAAATATTTCATTAAAGGGGGGGATCAAAAGGATCTATGCACCTATCATCATCCAGTGGAATGAATGATTCGGAATGAAATGTCTCAAGAACAGTTTTAAATTACAGTGGTACCTCGGTTTAAGAACAGTCCTGTTTACGAACAATTTGGTTTAAGAACTCCGCAAAACCGGAAGTAGTGTCCCGGTTTGAGAACTTTACCTTGGTCTAAGAACATGAAATATACTCAGAGTCCTGTAGTGATTTCATGCTCTTTATTGCAGCTTGTAAAACAGTGGTTGAATTGCCCCCCAAACCTCAGGCTTTTACATACATTATTTACACAATGAGTCCCGTCTGATTGGCTGATTCTGCTTCCCTGCTGGAGCCTGATTGGTCTTTTCCTGCAGGCCAATCAGTTATTGCATTCTACGATCCTACCAGCCTAATAGGCTGATTAACTTCCTCCTGGAGCCTGATTGGTCTTTTCCAATCAGTTGTTGCATTCTAGGAACCTACTTGCCTATTGCTCTAGGATCCAAGCTTAGTACATAACAGAACGGAATCCGAACAGTGGAAGCACACTGGCGGCAGGAGGCCTCATTAGGGAAAACGCGCCTCAGTTTAAGAACAGTTTCAGTTTAAGAACAGACTTCCGGAACGGATTAAGTTCGTAAACCAAGGCGCCACTGTACTTTCTTTTCACCCCGAGTGATCAGAAAAATCTGTCAAAATCCTTCTACAATTTGTACTTTTAGTTCAGTATTTTTATTTATTTACTTGATTTAGGAGGGTAGTTGCCCCCCTGGCTATGCCCACAATTCCTAGGGAAGTGGGGTTCAGGTCACAGCTTAGAAGAGGGGTGGTCATCATGGTGCCCTTCAGGGTATCCCCCCCCCCACAACTCCCATCATCCCTGATGGTTAGTCATATCTGAGGCTGATGGGAATTGTCTGGATTTTCCACTTGTGTCTGAAGAAAGTGGGGTGAATTTCTGAGACTGTCCTCCCAACTCACCTCCTGCATCTACATATTAAAATTATTTTTTATTTATTTTACATTTATAGCCCACCTTCCCTCCAAGGAGCTCAATACGGCATACCTGATTCACCCCCTCCCTGGGTTATCTTCACAGCAGCCCTGTGAGTTAGGTTAGGCAGAAAGTCACACAGTGAGCTTCATGAGTAAGCAGTGGTTTAAATCCGTGTCTCCCAAGTCCTATCCCGACACAGGAGTTCCTCTGGCTTTGCATGGTGAACTGAAATTCATCAAGTGTTTGATTGATAGTGTTTGTTGTTACTGACTTAGCCTTCTTTATTTTCCTTTGGGGAGGAGAGAGCTGCGTTTAAAAAATGTGAAAGGTAAAGATGAAACAAAAAAAATTGAGTTTCCCTTGTCCCTTAAGGGTCTGTACTGGTTGTTTTTGTTTCGCAACACTTAATATCAACAGCAGTATTTTTTTGTGTATAACCGTATTTTTTTGTGTATAACACATCCGTGCATAAGACTATTTTGGGGGACTCAGAATAAAGGAAATGGGGGGAAATCACCCAGAGATGTTAAGCTTTGGGGCAGGGGGAGATTCGCAAGAGTTGTTGAGCTTTTTGAGGGGAGGCTTGCCCAGAGTTGAGCTTTTGGGGGTGGGGAATGCAGAAAATCGCTCACCTCCCTCGCACACATCGAATAAGCCTCCTGTCGGCTGCCCCGCCCTCGCCACCAGCTGCCGCCTATCGACCGCCAACTTGCCGCAGAAACAGCCAATCAAAACAACCCCCTTGCCGTAGCCACCAATCACCCACCCAATCATAGCTGACAATGTCCTGCTGGCTGCACCAACCTATCGCTTGTCCCCCCCATGCGCTATCCATGTATAAGACAACCACAATTTTTGAGATTGTTTTATCATAAAAAAACACCTTATCTTATACATGGAAAAGGAGTATCTCCACCCCCATCATTCAGCCCGGACACGGAGGTCCAGCCCAGAGGGCCTTCTGGCAGTTCCCTCGCTGCGAGAAGTGAGGTTACAGGGAACCAGGCAGAGGGCCTTCTCAGTGGTGGCGCCCACGCTGTGGAACGCCCTCCCATCAGATGTCAAGAAAATAAACAACTATTTTACTTTTAAAAGACAGCTGAAGGCGGCCCTGTTTAGGGAAGTTTTTAATGTCTGACGCTGTATTGTTTTTAATATTTGGTTGGAAGCCACCCAGAGTGGCTGGGGAATCCCAGCCAAAGGGGCGGGGTATAAATAATAAATTGTTGTTGTTGTTAAAACTACGGTACACTTCTTCAAGGAGAGGGTCAGGTCCCTCTGTTGTCCCCTGTTGGGGAAGTGGGTACCTTTTCAGGTCTGTCACCCTCTTCCTTTCGTTTCTCTCCATTTTCCTGGTAAGTCTTCTGTGCCTTTGTAAAACAAGGTCAAATTCAACAGGTGCAGCTTGCCACCCATGTCCTGCAAAATTGCATCTTCAGATGAAGAGGATTGCTGCACCTTGTTGATTTGTAGCTCTCTGTAGCAAGAACAGGAAACACCCCCCCTTTGCTCTGCTACCTGGGCGCTGATGGGTGGGGGACCACATTCATATTAGCCGCTCCCCCCATCATTCCTGACAGAGTCTGGACCTTTGTCTGACAGGTTGACATTCAACTGGTGAAGTCCTCTGTCAATGGAACTCCAGGCTGGCACAAGGCTACACCTGCTTTGTTTCTGTATTGTGATTCTCCCAAAAAGCTGGGGGTGGGGGGAGGCCTCTTCAAGGGGGGGTGCTGATCCCACTTCTGCCTGGGAGCCCCCACCATTGGCAGTTTCTTTCTGCCCTCCATATATTCCAGCTGAGCACACAGTGTCCTATTCCCCAAGGTTAAAGAACAATTAGCTCCCTATTAACTCAGTGCCTCTGCCCCCCCTCTTACATTTCCTTTCCTTCTCAAATGGCTTTTTTTAAAGAGCCATATCAGGGTCTGTCTCTCGATTTCAGACAATTTACCCACGGAGTTTTATACTTTATTTATTTATTCCTAGGGGTATTTGTCAACTTCCAGCTCGTAAGTAAAATATCACAGAATGGGTTTCATTCCAAGTGAGCTGTAATCAATGAAACTTCTATAAATTTGTGCACAAGTAAATTCACTTTAAAAAAAAAAGATTTCTATTTATTTAACAACTCAATAGCAGGGGACATTTGGAGGGGTGTTCTAGGAGGGGGTCCCCATCTCAAAAGAGGCATTCTGTCCTTTGTGATTAACTAAAACCACAAATTAATTGAAAAATAATGTTCGGTTAATTAACGCCGCCCTTTTTAACTGAACAGAAAATAATGGATTAATCTTAGCCGATTAATCTACTGATGTTGCAGTCCAATAGAGAGACAGAACATAACAGCTCAGGGAGCCAGTGTGGTGTAACAGATTAGGACCTGGGAGACCAGGGTTCAAATCCCCACTCAACTATGAAGCTTGCTGGCTCTCAGCTTAACCTACCTCACTGGGTTGTTGTGGGACTCAAATGAAGGGGAAAACCTTGTAGCTCCTTGGAGAAAAAAGTGGGCTATAAATGCAATTAGCAAACAAGTAATGGCTTATATTACTAGTGCCACATTATATAGCTCAGTTGGTTAGAGTGCGGTGCTGATCGCAGGTTCGATCCCCATAAGGGACAGCTGCATATTCCTGCAAGATGATCCTCAGGGTCCCTTCCAACTCTATGATTCTTTGATTCTTCTGAATCAGAAGGGGTAGCACCTCCCATCCTCCCTACTGGCTAGAACCAATGTGAGCTGCAGTCTGCAAAATTGTGTTGATGTGGTTTGAGTTGAGAAAGTGGCCTTTCACAGGACAAAAGCAGATAATAATAATAATTATTATTATTATTATTATTATTAATTATTATTTATACCCCGCCCATCTGGCTGAGTTTCCCCAGCCACTCTGGGCAGCTCCCAATCAAGTGTTAAAAACAATACAGCATTAAATGTGATTAAGAGAGCAACATTTGCTTATTCAAGTGTCTGCCCTATTCACATATAAACTGAGCATCTGGAGTCCATTTGTATAGTCACACTAGGAAAAAGAGCTGAACCCCCTCCCTTTACCCCCTTGCAGTCCAACTTTTCACACATATTTTGGAGGGCGCTCACAAGCAGGCCCAAATGCAAGACTCCCCGTTATACGTCCCTAGAATACATTGTTCAGATATACATCCTCTGAGCGTGTAGGCTCCATTTAGCTCTCGTGACTAATAGTCCTTGCTGGACCTGTTCTCTGTAAGTTTGTTCTTAAAAGCCATCCTTCCTCTTCCTAGTAACAAGCGAAGGTGGCTGGCAGAAACTGAGCCCGAATCAGAGCACTGAGAAACCAGAATTGTCATGCTTGACAGAACCCAAAGTTCTGCAGAAGTACAATAAATATTTGGGACTGCAAGGGCCATCTAGTACCAACTCCCTGCTATGCAGGGAGCCCCATATTGTCTATTCTGACTGGCAGCTCTCCCGAGCAACAGGAAAATGAATTTTTGCTCCCACCTGCTGCTTGCTCTGTTTTAACTGAATGTATCGCTGGATTCAACCTGGAATCTGCATACAAAGCATATGCTCTCCTATTGAGTTATGGGTCTCTCCTTAAGCCCATCACACACACATACCCTTTTCAGACAGGCTTGTCCTTTGTCATCTTTCATCAGCAGGAAATGTTCTCATTTCAAGGAAAGCAGCCTTGTCTGCTTAGAAAGGAAAGGGCAGGGAGACAGTATCAATTCTGCTTTCAGAGGCGGCTGCCATCTGGTCACATGCCGATGGATTATCAAATGGAACCCTTTCCCCCCTCCTTATTAAACCTCGCGTGAAGTTAAATTACTTGGCAGTCACACAGAACGGTGTAGGGCGGTGTGTGGAGGTGGAAAACGGTGACCGAGATGTTATGAACAGGGCGAACGAGGTGCTATGAGCAGGAACCAAAGTGCATTTAATTTCCCCCAGGCTTTGAGGTGCTTCTCTCAACAAAGCTTGTGAGATGCTACCTCTCTCACTTCTTCCAGATCTGCCCGAGAACCCACCTTTCCTCTGTTGTAAACAAAATCTGCCCTTTCCCCCTTATGGGGTATCCAAGAGCCCATATAGAGTTCTTACATAGGTTCCCTGTTGGTAGGAGAGAATAACAGAGGCCAACCAGAGAATACTGAGAAGCAAAGCAGCTAGTAAGCTTGATCTTTATTGATCTGTTGCAACAGGGTGCTCCCCTCACCCGCAGGAAAGGAGGAGGAGGAACCCAGAAAAATGGTGTGCAAGGCCTTATAAAGACTTTTGAAATTGCCACCCTGTAGATCAAGACCACCCCCAGAAACATCATACATACATCACAGAAGGGGTGTAACCTAAGACCACCCCTCAGATACATCATACCTACATCACAGAAAAGGCGGTCTAAAACAGAAATTTTAATGTTGTTTTTCTCCTGTCCTTGTTTATCTCCTGTCTGGCAGGTTACTTGATTGGATTGCCTGGGGAGCCTGGCCAGTCTTTTTGTAATGATAAATACTTAGTTCCTGGGCCATGTCACAGGCTCACACCCTATTCATATCTTAAATGTGCCCTTAAGACAGGATTTGTGAGGAAAGAGACAATGGGGAGGTTTCCCACTTTGACCTTGTAGAGAAAACATTTACTCAGTTTAGGAATCAAAATGGTTCCAGGTTGGTCTTCCTATGCTGATCTATGTACATGCTTGGTTGGTACACTTAGGAACATTACCATATATCTAAGACCATAAAATTCCTATCACACCACGAAGCCTTTGGCACACCTCTCTAGTTCAAAGGCCCTAAGTGAGAGATGGGGAAACGGTAACCCTCCAGTTGTTGCCAGACTACAACTCCCATCGTCCTTGACTGAGGTAGGGAAACTTGGTTCAGCCCAGGGACCTCCTTCTCTTCTAGGCAACTTTGCAAGGTACACGCCAGGGCCAATAACTTTGCCTTTCTACACTGGACTTGTTCCTACATGCCTTCTCTATCCCACTCCCTACAGGCCAACAAGAGAGGCGTTATTACAAAGCAAGGACGCATTCTCACCGGGCAGAATCAAAGCAAAACCTCAGAGAGTGCCAAAGAAAACCAATAAGGGGTATGGCCTGGGATAAGTGGTGTGGCTGAAGAGAGGTGTGGCCTGGAGAGAACCAAGAGGGCGACATTCGGGACTGAGGTTCCTGCTCAATATCATTTACCGCCACGGCTCATGCTAGCTGGGGCTGATGGGAGATGTAGTCCGATCTTATGGAGAGTCAGCATGGTGTAACAAGACTGTTGGGCTATGACCTGGGAGAGCTATTTCATAGGTAAAGGGACCCCTGACCATTAGGTCCAGTCATGGCCGACTCTGGGGTTGGGGCGCTCATCTCGCTTTATTGGCCGAGGGAGCCGGCGTACAGCTTCCGGGTCACATGGCCAGCATGACTAAGCCGCTTCTGGCGAACCAGAGCAGCGCATGGAAACGCAGTTTACCTTCCTGCCGGAGCGGTACCTATTTATCTACTTGCACTTTGATGTGCTTTCGAACTGCTAGGTTGGCAGGAGCTGGGACTGAACAATAGGAGCTCATCCCATTGCAGGGATTTGAACCGCCAACCTTCTGATCAGCAAGTCCTAGGCTCTGTGGTTTAACCCACAGCACCACCCTCATCCCGAATCATAGAATTGTGGAGTTGGGTGGTCATCAAATCCAACCCTTTGCAACGCAGGAATTGTTTTTCCCAATATGGTACTCGAACCCACGCCCCTGGGTCCCATGCTCTACCATCTAAGGGAGATCAGGGTTCGAATCCCCACTCAGCCACGAAGCTCATTGGGTGACCATGGGGTCCAGTACACTGCCTCCCACAGCCTAACCTACCATGCGGGGTGGATGGGTGCGAGGATAACTGCAATAAGCAATCAGAGGGCTCGTTCATTTATTCATTTATTCAATTTCTATACCGCCTTTCATCCCAAGATCGCGGGGCGGTTTACAACATAAGAGCACAAAACAAAGTACGTAACATATTCGCAGGCAAAAGCAAGAAGCCCTTCCAGCCAACTCCTTCCTACTTCTCTTTTCATTCCAGCTGCAGAAACTGGAAAGAGAAAGTGAGAAAAAAACCCGAGAGCCAGATGGCCCACCAGAAACCGTTCTTGCGCACACCCCTTGGCGTCATACGGGAGCAGCCGGTCGTGGGAGGGCGGACGGCTCGCCTTACGACGCGGGGGGGAGATAGAACACCGTGCAGGAAAATAGAACGCCATGTATCCATCTGATTCCGCCCGCAGCCAATAGCAGCGGAGGGCTTCGCGCTCTCGGCCAATGAGCGGGCGGCTCCTGTGGGCCCGGATTTCCTCGTCCTCCATCCAGCTTGCGGTTGCTGGTGGAGGCAGCGGTCGGAGCTGCGCGCGTCTCCTGCTGCCGCTGCCGCCGCCGCTCCCGGTGCGCAAGACGTGGAGGAAAAGCCCAAGGCGGCCGTGCTGGACGTTCAGGTAAGGAGATTAGACCCTGAGTGTGTCTAATAGGCGAGCTTCTCGGGTTTGGCTGGAATGTGGCATCGCAGTTCGCATCGGGCCCCTTCGCGGCCATAACTTTCGGTTTTCTTATGGTGGTCGCTGAGCTTTGCGTTTTCAGAGATGCAATGGCACATGACCTCTCCGACGCCTCGTTTGCTGTGGCAGCTGACAGCGCCGCCCGGTGCGTGCCTCCTCAGCAGCAGGGTCTGGCCTGAAGGCTCCAGGGTTGCCTGGCCACGTCCAGGCGGCAGGTGGAGGGGCTTGAATCTCCAGGTGGGCGGGGACGCGGTTGATGATGATGATAATAATAAATGAATAAAAATCAAGAAGGCCGTGCATGAAGCTTGCAAGCTTCAGACTGGCAGGAGCCGTTGCAAATTGTAGCATAAACATTGGGGAGGTTTTTTTTTGCTACCCTCGTCCCCTCTCTTTCCCAGTTAACCTCCATCTCCAGGTCCCACCTCCCCATGACATCACCCGGGGCTGCCCCTCGGTCTCAGGTTTGGTCCCTGCAATCTCAGGGTCTGGGATGCTCCTGACCTGGCTACCTGTTCCGTGGAGTGTGGCTTATCTCCAAGCAGGTGTGTGTTCAGAATTACAGAGTAGGCTTGCTCCTTCTGCATCCGGCTTCAGAACTGAGCTTTGCTGATCTCTGTTTCCCTGTGCCAACGCAGCGCCCCTCTCCTCCCTACACCCTGTAGGCATTCTTTCTCCAAAGGTTATTGAGGTGCATACATCGCAGAGGGCCAGTCCAGCCATAAGAAGGACCCTTTTGGATCAAGCCAAAGGCCCATCAAGTCCAGCATTCTGTTCTTACAGCAGCCAACCAGACGCCCATGGGGAGCCCAAAGCAGGAGCCCACAGATAGATTTGATTCCATTTCATAGAGTCATCAAATTGTAGAGTTGGAAGGGACCCCAATGATCATCTGATCCAACCCCCCTGCAATGCAGGAATCTCAGCTAGATCAGTAATGACAGGTGGCCATCCAATTTCTGCTTAAAAACATTCAAGGAAGAAGAGTCCACCTTCCACTGTCTAACAGCTCTTACAGTCAGAACGTTCCTCCTGATGTTGAGTCAGAATCTGATATCTCGTTACTTGAATCCATTGGTTCCCCTCTCCCCATTTTATCCTCTCAACAACCCTGTGAGGTAGCCTACAGGCCATGGAAAGTAGTGGCTTGCTCAAGGTGACCCAGTGAATTTGTGACTAAGTGGGCACTTGAACCTTCTCCAATCCAATTCCAATATTATTTTCAGGTCAGTTGAAGGCCTGAATCAAATGGGTATTAAATACAGTGTCAAAGTTTCCTGGTTAGAAAGGTGGAGCTCTCCGTCACTGGAGGTATTTAAACAAAGGTTTGATAACCAATCTGTCAAGGATCCTGGAATTGTAACCTGCATTATAGATTCTACACAGAGTAGATGGCTGAACAAAATGGTAGCCTGCAACATTTTCAGACCTCTTGCATTTGGGGATCCATTTATTAATGTTTATCATATACAGTGGTACTTTGGTTTAAGAACAGCTTAGTTTATGAACAACTTGGATTAAAAATTCTGCAAACCCGGAAGTAGGTGTTTTGGTTTGTGAACTTTGCCTTGGAAGCAGAACATGTTCTGCTTCCTGTTGAGTGTGTTCCATTTGTACATTGAGTCCCCCGCTGCTATGGGAAAGCACGCCTTGGTTTAAGAACGCTTTGGTTTAAGAACGGACTTCCGGAACAGATTAAGTTCATAAACCAAGGTACCACTGTATTTGTATTGTGTTAGTGCTACTGTTGTGACCTACTTTTTATTGTTTTTATTATTTATTAAATTAATGGAATTTATTTAATTCCCCTACTGCCGTTCATCCAAAGATCACAGGATGGTTTACAATATAAGAACACAAAAATACATGGTTGTTGGCATCTGCCTGTCTCGAGAGACAATGGGATGCACCTCCCGGGGTGAAGCCAAATCTCTGTGTTGCCAGCTCTGAAGTGACCTCCCCGGGGCGCAGGCCTGGGCAGTGTGCATGGGGGTCCTGGGCTGCCCAGATGACGAGACCCCTGGCCGATGCGGTCCACAGGAAAACAGAGCAAGACGTTTGGCAACAGCTTGGCTGCAGGAGTTGCTGGAAGGAGGCATATAAGGCACCGTCCAACTTTCACAGCAACAAACAGAAACAGTACCTCCACACACACACAGTTTAAAAGGCCATAGATTGCTTAATTAGCCAGAGGCCTGGGTGAATAGGAACGTTTTTGCTTGACACCTAAAGAAATATAACGAAGGTCTCTCTGGGGAGAGCATTCCACAAGAGGGGGATCCTTGGGTCAGGCCATGGGGCAGTAGTGGGTCCCTACCTGCCAATTGAAGACCAGTGAACTAGATGAACTCCACTTATCGTTTCAGCTCTAGAATTATATGGTTGCCCTGTATGACCAAAAATAAGGCTGCAAATCTTAAATGCACTTAAACGCCCATGGATTTCTGTATGAATGTCTATGTTTCAGCACGCTTAGGACTGTGTTGTAAAGGCAGTAGCACACATTTATTAATTTATTGCATTTTGTTCTTCGGTTTTCTTGGGCTGCAATCCGATATGCAGTGCTATTTTTCTAGAAAAAGAGGTGCTGGAACTCACCATGAACGCCTCCCTCCTTGTCTTAGAATGGCAATGGCGCCTACCTGAGAGGTGCCAGAACTGAGTTCCAGTGAGTTCCTGCTGAGATAAAAAAGCCCTGCCTATATATATTGAAATTAGACTTGGTCTAATTTTTAAAAGTCGCCGTAAGTAGTCAGGCCAGACCTTGAGCAAGAGCAGTCTGACCCTCCCCTGATAGTCTGTTGGGTGTGGAAAGAGAGGAAGGGGGGCCCTGAGAGAAAGGGGGGGCCCTACCAGTGTCAGCATGCCCTGCAAGGAGAGAGTCTCTTCCTTTAAATTCCTAGGAGTTTATCTCAGTGGAGACCTTACTTGGAAAATCAATACAACCCAGGTGGTTAAGAAAGCCCAACAGAGACTCCATCTCCTCAGAGTCTTGCGGAAGAACGATGTCAATCAACATTTGATGATCTCCTTCTACCGGTCCACAATAGAAAGTGTCCTTTCATACTGCATCACGGTGTGGTACGCTGGTTTGACATCATCTGACAGGAAGTGCCTACAGAGGGTGGTGGATACAGCACAAGATATTATGGGATGTCCCGTGAATCCGCTGGATGAAATAGCGGAAGAACGTTGCCTCAGGAGCGTGAGGAAAATTCTCAGGGATGATTCACACCCTGGCCGGCACTTTCTGGATCTCCTGCCCTCGGTCAGAAGATATAGAAGCATGATTAGTCGCGCCAACAGGGTAAAGAACAGCTTCTATCCGTGGGCTGTTAGGCTGCTGAATGAAAAGATAACAAAAGGGCAACTGACTTTTGGGTTTGGTGGGTGTGCGTCAGTAAACGCGGGGAATTAAGACTAAGAGAGCTGAGTGGGGGGTGCTCGTGTAATCTCACTGTATACAAGTTGTACAAGTGACAATAAAGTACCATATTTTTTGCTCTATAAGACTCACTTTTTCCCTCCTAAAAAGTAAGGGGAAATGTGTGTGCATCTTATGGGGTGAATGCAGGCTGCACAGCTATCCCAGAAGCCAGAACAGCAAGAGGGATCGCTGCTTTCACTGTGCAGTGATCTCTCTTGCTGTTCTGGCTTCTGGGATTCAGAATATTTTTCTTCTTGTTTTCCTCCTCCAAAAACTAGGTGCATCTTGTGGTCTGGTGGGTTCAGTGAGTCTTACTCCCAGGTTACGTATGTATGGGATTTTACCCTTAAGCCTTTTGCATTACAAGCCGCAGCCTTCAATGGTCGGCCTGAAGCAAGGGGCAGACTTCAAAGAAACTGGATCCGGCCTCCATGCTAGTGCTTCCTTCTCTCTCCCTTTGCCTTCCCAGCCATGAGCACGTCCGGTTCTCTCCTGTGGGCGGTCGACATCTTTGGCCGCGTCTACACGCTCTCCACCGCCGGCCAGTACTGGGAACTCTGTAGAGATGGGGAGCTGGAGTTCAAGAGGGTTTCTGCCGTCAAGCAGTGCTGCTGGGGAATTGCGTGCGACCACCAGGTCTACGTTTACATCCACTCCAACGACGTCCCCATCCGGTACCAGGAAGAAACCTACGAGAATCAGGTATGCAAAAGGAAGGGCTGAGCCCACAATAGAAGCCGGCAGTTAAAGCTAAGAAGCGTGCCCCGCTGGATCAGACCCAAACCCTGTCTATTCCAGCATCCTGTGACCAGTCAGATGCCTCTGGGAAGCCCACAAGCATGAGGGCCATAAGCCTGTTGCTTCCCAGCAGAATTAGGTGGAGCCACCGTGTAAATATTACTATCTTCTGTAAAGTAGGCTAGTTTCCACACACCCACTGTTACTCACGCTATTCTTCTCTGTCCTCTGTCCAAACAATGCATTATCAGAGTTCAAGGACACATTCCAGCCAGGCAGAAACATTCAAGTAGGGTCAGTGGGTCTGGAGATGCCTGCCCTATATCTAACAGAGCTTCTCATTCATGCTTTGTTCCGTACAGTAACATCTGAGTGCAGAATGTGTTGGGTTTTAATTTGGCATTCCTTCAATGTTTTCCTGTTGTTGTTTTTTGTTGCAGTTTGTCTTTAAGTGCTATTTGAAAGTTTATCAGAAACCACAGGCGGCCTCGCGTAAATATGGTATCTATCGTGGGTTTCCTCCCTGGGTGTAGATCCACCCTTACATAATTTTGGAGTCTTCACTCAAGCTTTTACTTTTAAAGGCCTATTCAGTTTGTGCGCATATGTCCTGGAAATCTGTTGGCTGACTAATGGGGTACTTTTTAATTTTTTATTGTTATTTCTTAAATTTATATATTGATCTCGGGGTGGTTCACAAGATAAAAATTCAGGATAAAAGCACAAATACATAGTTAAAACAGAAACAAAGCAAAACAATACCCCCCCCCCCAATTTAACAGGCTATAGAATATTAATCAGCCAATGGCCTGGTTGAAGAGGAATGTTTTCCCCTAGTGCCTAAAGATGTATAATGAAGGTGGCAGGCGAGCCTTCCTGGAGTATATCTTTGCATTCCACAAATGGGGAGCCAGTGCAAAAAAGGCCCAGTCTCGTGATGCCATCCTCCAGACCTCACATGGAGGAGACACACAAAGGAGGACCTCACATGATGATTGCAGAATCCGGGTCGGTTTATATGGGGAAAGGCAGTCCTTGAAGTATTGCAGTCCTGAGCCGTTTAACTTGTTCAGCTGAACAAATGATTTCTTAATTGATTTAATCTGTTGAATATTGGAGCCCCAAAATGTACTCTCCAGGCAGAGGCAATCTAAGGTTACCAATGTGGGTCCTAAGTCAAACATCTGTGGCCCTCCAGATGTCGTTGGACTACAACTCCCATCATCCATTAGCCGTTAGCCACACCAGCAGAGGACAATGGGATTTGTAGTCCAGCAATGCCTGGGGACCTGAGGTTAAGAGAGTGTACAATATGTGATTGTTTTCTTGTTCACTCCCTGGCAGCGCTGGAATCCTGTGATTGGCTTCTGCGAGAAGTTATTGCCCAGTGACCGCTGGCAGTGGAGCGATGTGAGTGGGCTGAAGCATCAGATGCTCGAAAGCTTTGAGTTGCCGTCGCCTCACTGGGAATGGGAAGCTGACTGGTATGTGGATGAAAATTTTGGAGGGGACCCCACAGAGAAAGGGGTAGGTGCAAAATATTGAAAAGGGATCCACGTCCTCTTGCGAGGAGGGAGGGAGCAATGTTGAAGGGGAGGGGTTGCTATCTTGCTTCCAAAATACATTGCTGCATTCATACTTGCAACCCGGGGAGGGTGTTGAGCTGGGGTTGCTATTTGTAGTAGAAAGCAGGGACCACTAGGTCAAAGGCAGGGGCCTTCAGGGCATCTCCAAAGACTAGGTTTGCCCGGGAACTGTGAGTGTACAAGCAAGCAAGCAACCTTATGTTGACTCAGCAGTTGCACTGCTATACAGACGCCTATTGGATAGTGTCTGTGACGTCACGGCAAGGTTGTGTCTCCTAGTACTACTTACTCCATTTTGGGAATATTACTGCTACCATTCCTGTTATCTTTTCTTGTAACCCTTCTGCACTCTTTTTATGCTGATGCTGGAGCGCACGTCAAATTAACAACTGATTAACCCTCCAGTCGCTGGAATGGTGGGTGTTGGAATCCAACAGCGCCGGGAGGTCCTTAGATTTGGGTAGCAACAGATGGCTCGTTAGCTTTAGTAGACAAATTTAATAAATAATAAAACATTCTTGTAGCTGCAAATCATATTGATGTCAAGCAACCTTCATTATGGTGTTATTCTTCTTGCGATAGTTCTGTGCATTGCGGTTATTAACAGATAAAATGTGCAGAGTTTGTTAACTGCGGTTGTTTGGAAGTTGCACTGATTTCAGAGGGAGTTGCTCCCTGTGAAGTATAGTGAGTAATCTGTCTCCACTGATTTGAGTGGGGTTTACACCCAAGTGAGCATGTCTAGGATTGTAGCCTTAGAGGACAGGCCACCAAAGTTGTGTCCATGGGCATCATTGTGGCCACCAACATCACCTAGGTGTCAGTAAATACCCTCTTCAAAATCTGCAATGCACAAGAGACTATTTGGTCTCAGCTGCTGTTCAGTTCGCCTTTGCCCTGGCTGGGCATATCCTGTGTTGAAGCTGTCATGCTACGTCAGCTGTTTTGTGACTGGCACCCACAGCACCGGGCTTTGACCCACCAGGCCAAAGCTATAGTCGCCCCTTGCCTTAGGCAGCGGTTCTCAACCTGTGGGTCCCCAGATGTTGTTGGACTACAACTCCCATCATTCCTGAGCTCTGGCCTTGCTAGCTAGGGGTGACGGGAGTTATAGTTCAACAACATCTAGGGACCCACAGGTTAAGAAAGCTACCTTAGAGGAATAGTATTGCTATTGCGGAGGTTATTCTTTATAAGTGTTAGAAGCCCAGCTTCAACATCGGGCAGCCTCTCCCTAGCCCAGTTTATGTGCAAACCAGCACTCGTGGTTTGCTTGCTCCTAGTAAACCATGGTTTGTTCTTACCATCATGATTTGCCAGGAGACAGACAAACCGTAAGCAACGGTTCACATGTAACGGCAAGTCAACATCTAGTTTATTTCCTCTCTGGGGGGGTGGGCACTGAAGTTAAGAGCAGTGGAGGAGCAAAGTGCAAGCTCACTTTAAACCCTAGTTTACTTTAACCTATCGTTTAAAACTGGGGCAGGAAACCTTTTTCAGAACAAAAGACGTGTGTTCCATTTGGGGCAATCTTTCCAGGGCCGTGTGCCACTGCTGTGCAGGGTGAGGTGCAAAAGTTGGGCAATGGGTATAATTTTTTCCTTTGTACACTACGCACTGACTTGCACACCCCTCTCTGTCCTCCATCCAGGCAAGGAAGAGGAATGATCAGAGTTGAAGGGCAAATTCCAGCCAGGCAAAAAATACTCAAGGACAGTGCAGAGTCAAGCTAGTGAATGCCTGGGGAGAAAGTGTAGGCTGGACAGAGGGCCAGATAGCAAGACTTGGAGGGCCACATGTACACCCCAAGCCTGAAGTTCCTATCCCCTGATTGAATGTGTCGCGAGAACCAGGTTAGGTTGATTGGTGGTTCTTATTAGGCTGGGCAGGCAATCGGATCGCAACATGCTTTAGCTGAGATTCCAACATTGCAGAGGGTTGGACTAGATGACCCACGGGGTCCCTTCCAACTCTACAATTCTGTGATTATGTATTGGCGGATTAAAAGTTGCTTTGTAAGAGCAGCGCTGCTAATTTTGCCAGAGGTTGGTGCTTAGTTTGTGCCTAGAGTATATTGAGGGTTTTTTTTTCTGGTAAACTCAATACTTGACAAAAATATTTTTCTGACTGCTCTCTCCCCCTTCCTTCTTTTTCCCTTTTTCAGGGCTGGACATACGCTATAGATTTCCCAGCCACCTATACCAAAGACAAGAGGTGGAATTCCTGTGTGCGACGGAGGCGGTGGATTCGGTACCGGAGATACAAGTCGCGAGATACATGGGCAAAGGTGTCTCTCCTTCTTCCCCCCCCCCATCCATTTTTCAAATTTGCAATGTGTCTGGCGGTGGTCAGGGTTGGCTCAAGGCCTTTCGCAGTGGCTATGGTGCACAACCTAAGATCTAACCCCGGATTCCTTGCAGCAGGGCCTTTTCAGTGGTGTCCACCTGATTGTGTTGATGCCGGGCAAAGGTGATTTTATTCTTCCAGGCTCTTGGGGGATGCTGTTTCTGGGTTTTTCTGTTGCCTTCCATCTGGGTTGAGGCATTTGGTGTTTCTGAACACTAAATGTGAGTTTTGGCAGAAAGCACTTTTAAAAAAAAAATTAATGTCGCAACCAGTGGGATTTGCAGCAAGATGTTTCAGTGTGGAGGGTTCCAGCAACTTTACCTCCAATCCATCCTTTCATTCCATTCACACCTATTACCTTTACCCCCGCATCCCATTGGCCGATTTTGTAGCGACACGCCCCCCCTTGGGGAAGGATAGTTGTAATATTATTTATATTATTTTTCAACCTTGGGACCCCATATGTTGTTAGAGGGCATATTGTAATGCCAACTGCAAGCAATTTCTAAATGAGCTGCTCTTAATAAGAAACAGTAAGTTCACCTGGGAAGAATGTCGACTCTGTACCAACAGGAAAGTAATTCAAAGCATGTTTTCTGCTCTTGCTGCTGTAGATTCCATCCCAACAGGATCCCACACAGTTGCCGGATCCTTTCAATGATCTTTCCGTCGGAGGATGGGAGATTACGGACGAGCCAGTGGGAAGGTTGTCCGTCTGGGCCGTGTCTTTGCAAGGAAAGGTAACACCTATTTGCCTTCGGGATTCTTGCGTATGGCAAAAGAGTGTTGGTCCATCCGTCCATCAGCCGGTCTACATCAGGAATGCAGAGGGCTCTAGCCAGTGCTGGTCCTACTCAGCGTAGACCCATTGAAACTAATGAACACAACTCATTTTAGGTTCATTAATTTCAGTGTGTCTTCTCTTGAGTTGGAGCAGTATTGGATACAATCTAGAACAGTTTTTCCCAACCTTTGGGTCTCCATTTGTTTTTCAGACTACTATTCCCATCATCTCTGACCACTGGTCTTGCTAGCTAGGGATGATGGGACTTGTAGTCCAAAAACAGCTGAAGAAACACTGATCTAGAACCTTTTTCATCCCCAAGAGATACATACTCATGAGGGCAACTTTGCAGCGGTAGCCTCTGGCAGGCAGCGGCAGGCAGAATACTTTAAATACGTTTTTGTTTTATTTTTTAAATTACAGGTGTTATTTGCCGCTCTGGGCTCCCGTTTGGGAGGAAGGGCACGGTGGAAATTTATATAAAATATAAAATTAAATAGACAAACATATAAAATCAACAGTTGCCGTTCCTGAAGGCTACACGTTTCCCCCTCACTTCAGGTCTGGTACAGGGAAGACGTCTGCCATCACAATCCGGAAGGTTCTTCGTGGTCTTTAATTGCCACCCCCGGTGAAGCCGTCCAGATCAGCTGCGGGCCATACGACCTTCTCTGGGGAACTCTTTGGGAAGGGCAGGCGATCGTGAGGGAAGGGATTGACAGGAACAACCCTCAAGGTAAGCCCTATTTTGTGGGAATGTTCAGGGTGGCAGGAGAGGACATATTGTTTATTAATATCCTTCCTAACTTGCTCCAGCAAGTTCCTTTATTTAGCAGAGTTTACATTCCCCTTCTCACGCACAGCAGAAAACTCGTTGCAAACTCATGTGAGTTTCTTAAGACAATACACAATTCAAGCTGGCTTGTCCAGATCAAAATGTGTTCTCATATTTTGCTGGTAAGACCCCTTGAATCCTTCCTAAAAGAATAAAGACAGCACAGTCTTAAGGTAAAGGGACCCCTGACCATTAGGTCCAGTCGTGACTGACTCTGGGGTTGCGGCGCTCATCTCGCTTTATTGGCCAAGGGAGCCGGCGTACAGCTTCCGGGTCATGTGGCCAGCATGACTAAGCCGCTTCTGGCGAACCAGAGCAGCGCACGGAAACACCGTTTTCCTTCCCGCCGGAGGGAAGGAATTTATCTACTTGCACTTTGATGTGCTTTCGAACTGCTAGGTTGGCAGGAGCTGGGACCGAGCAACGGGAGCGCACCCCGTCGCGGGGATTCAAACCGCCAGCAAGTCCTAGGCTCTGTGGTTTAACCCACAGTGCCACCTGTGTTCCAGCACAGTCTTATTCATAAGCAATAAAAAGAAAGTTTACTCACGATCAGACAGAGCACACTGTGATCCCTGAAGGCACGCTTAAGGCTTAAAGTTATAAGCATATACAAACAGGTTTACCCCATATGTGGGTAGACTTAGTGACTGCAGTTAGCAGTCCGGGAAGTTTGCAGGATGAAAGGAAGATGGAAAATAGAGAGAGGCAGCATGCCTTGTCCTTTTACCAAATCTGGAATGGTCACGCCCACCCACTAGTCACATGCAAGGAAGGACGCTCCAGGCCAGGAGGAACAGGAAGTTTTGACTGGCTGGACCAAACATCCCCTTGCATGTCCACTCTAGGAAAACAAGGAATGTTGTATTTGACTGCTCCCAGTTGTTACAAGAATTTTAAGATCTTAGATATATAATAAATGTTCATAAAGGTACCAAGCGAACACATACATAAATATATAAACCGCATGTCTGAAGCAGCATAGGAAGACAGTCCTGAAACCATTTTGACTCCCAAGCTGACCAAATGTTCCTCTGCAAGGAGGGAGAAGGTGGGGAAAAAAACTTTCCTTGTTACAGAAATTGAGTAATCACCATTTCAAAGGAATGGGCAGACTACCAGGAAAGGCAATTAGATAAGGCATTATCAGATAACCTGGCAGACAGGAAAAACAACAACATTCAAATTTCTCTTGTAGACCACCTTTTCTGTGATGTAGGTATGGTGTTTGTGGGGGGTGGTCTTGGGTTACACCCCTTCTGTGATGTGTGTATGATGTATGGAGGGGTGGTCTTGAGCTCCAGGGCAGGGAATTTAAAATATATAAAATATATAAAAATATAAGGGCAGGCACACCTTAGTTCTGGGCCCTCCTCCTCTCTCCTGTGGGTGAGGGGAGCACCCTGTTGCAACAGCTTTAATAAAGATCAGGCTTATGAGCTGCTTTGCTTCTCAATAGTCTCTGGTTGGCCTCTGTTATTTTCTCCTACCAGTAGGGAACCCACGTAAGGACTCTGTATGGGCCCTTGGATACCCCATAAGGGAAAAAGGGCAGATTTTGTATACAACACAGTGGATTACATCCCACACATTTGCGGTCTTGGGAGACTTTTGACGATGACCTTCAAGCGCTGAACTGTTTAGGATCAGGTGACTTAAAGGCTGTAGCAGCATTCGTTGCTCACCTGGCTTCCCAGCGCCACGCATCTATTGGTTACCGGGAGGGTGAGGAGCCAATCAGGTGCTCCGTTGCTGCGCCTAAACCTTGCCAAGCTCCCTACCGCCTCACCCTCTCAGTAACCGACAGCATCGTGTGGCATTGGGACCCCAGGTGTGCAGAGCCGCTCCACCCATTGCTACTGTTTAAAGTGCCGCCTGCTTTTAAATCCATAGCTTAAGATCTGCTTCAGAGACCCTGATTAGGTGCTCTCGTGCAAAGATAGTCTGCCTGGGGAACAGGGCCTTTTTGCTGGTGGCTCCACGTTGTGGTATTTAATCCCACGTCAAATGAGGCAGGCACCATCCATCGGTAGCTCCAAAGAGGCCTTTAAAACCCACGGACTGAGGTGTAGAAACAATAGTTTGCTCTGGCTTTTGTTTGCTTAACTTACGACGGGTTATTGTTGCCTTTGTGCCAGTTTATTACTATGATTATGAAGGAGATATCTTTAAGTGGTTTTAATTTGAAGGTGTTTATTTTATTTTGTTAAGTTTATATCCTGCCCTTCTTCCCAAGGGAGCACAAGGTTCACATTTTGTTGATGGTTTGATGTGTATTTCGTATGCCTTGCTTTCCGAAGCGTGTTTTTCTTGAGGTCATAAATTTACAAAAAGTAAATAAAAGCATCATATTTTCCTTCTTGTTTGGAACTGAACTAGGGTTTCAAATTGTTCTCTTGCTTTTTCCTCTGACAGGAATTTCTTGGACGATTGTGGAGCCTCCGGTCGCAGAGAATGGAATCTTACATGTGTCAGTGGGTGTGAATGTTGTTTGGGCAGTTACCAAAGACCGAAAAGTAAGAAGCTTTGAGACACAATTGTGATTTAAGGTTTCCTTTCATTTAGTGCTGGCTATGTTTCAAGTCCTCGTGACAGAAGAGAGGAATTGAAAACAACAGTTTAGGATAACAGTCAGTCACTCCCCATCACCCAGGGCAGTATCTTCGTACCTTAAAAAATTGTCCTGTCCCCTATTCCACTTTTAAAAAGACTGGGGAATCTTCATTATATGTTGCTGTGATTTATTAATCCAGTTCCCTTGGTTTCCTGGGAAGAGGAAATAATTGTTAGAACACTCTGGCAATTCTGGCCCTTTGTGGGGAACAGGGGTCTCCTAACAACTCTCAGCACCCTTAACAAACGACAGTTCCCAGGATTTTGCGGGAAAGCCATGACTTTTTAAAGTGGTATGATACTCCCTTAAATGTGTAATGCAAATGGAGCCCGTTGCCATTTTCTGTGTAACCTATAAAGTAATTCAGGAATGTGAGTATTGCTACTCTGCATAATTTATTCCAGTTTCAGAGTTCTATTGTGGAGGGGAACGGAGTTGGTAGAGAAATCCGGAGCCACCAAGCAGTAATTTTGGATATTCTCCCCTCAGGTCTGGTTCAGAAGAGGTGTGAACTCTCACAATCCTTGCGGCACCAGCTGGATCGAGATGGTTGGCGAGATGGTGATGGTGAACGTCGGCTTGAATGACCAGGTGAGGCTCCCTTTAGGACAGGCATAGGCAAACTCCGGCCCTCCAGATGTTTGTGATTACAATTCCCATCACCCCTGACCACTGGTCCTGTTAGCTAGGGATGATGGGAATCGTAGTCCCAAACATCTGGAGGGCTGGAGTTTGCCTGTGCCTGCTTTAGAAGCAGCACAGCAGGTATCCAAGCAGGTCTGGAACATTAGCCCCACTAGAAGTTGAACCAGGCCTGCAAAAAGAAAAAAGAAAAAACTTTGAACCCGTTCATAGGATTGGCTCTTCTACAGCTGAACCGGGATGAGCAGAGCCATAGCTCACTGGCAGAACACAAGCTTTGCATCTCAGGTTAAAAGGGTGAGGTCGTAGGTGGTTGGATGTGTAGATGAAAACACGCCTCCAACTTAGTTTAGGTTTAAAATCTGTCAAGATTTTATTCAAAGCATTTGCTAAGGAGAGGTGCAGAGGTTTCGCTAGTCTGGTTTATTTTTTTTATATTTTTAATTATCTTTGCATTTTCTATTTTACATAAAACAAATGAATTAAAAACATAGACGTATAATCCCCACGTACTTGTTACGTGAAATACATGTGCATATCATCTTTTTGGGTACCTTTCAACTCAAACATTTTTCTCGGCCTGAGTCTCCTGTTTTAATTACTGCGTGGTTTTAATGGGATCGTTTCACTGTGTATTTTAATTGTGGTTGTTTATATTTCAGTGTTCAAATGGGGCTGTTTTATTCCGTGTTTTGATTTTGTATTCTAATTATGGCTGCTTTGTTTTCATGCTCGCATTTTCATACCTGCAAACTGCTTTGAAGCTTATTTTGGCATTAGGCAGTACATAAATATATCAGATAAATAAATATTATTGTGTCAAATAATAAAGTTGCTCTTACTTGCTACAGCGCAATGACTGGGAGCCACTTCTTTTCTGATGTCAGCCACAAGGGAGTTGAACATCTATTTTTCTTACTCTCGCACACATTTCTGCTTTATCTTCTCTCTCTCTCTCGCTGTCTAGGTCTGGGGGATCAGCTGTGAGGACAGAGCCGTTTATTTCCGTCAAGGCGTCACCCCAAGTGAGCTGAGTGGGAAAACGTGGAAAGCGATTGTTTGCAGCCGAGATAGTGACCGATCGCAGACTGGCAGCTCAACAAGTCTCCTCAGGTAACTTAGAAACCCTGAGAATGTGCTTTTAACCACAAAAACCATATTCTTCTACTACAGTGGTACCTCGGGTTACAGACGCTTCAGGTTACAGACTCTGCTAACCCATAAATAGTACCTCGGGTTAAGAACTTTGCTTCAGGATGAGAACAGAAATCACGCGGCGGCAGCGGGAGGCCCCATTAGCTAAAGTGGTACCTCAGGTTAAGAACAGTTTCAGGTTAAGAACGGACCTCCGGAACGAATTAAGCTCATAACCCAAGATACCACTGTATATATAATTTGCTTGGCAAGCTTGCTACTGAATGATAACAGTCTTGGATCTGCTGCAATCTCTTTCTCTTCACCCTTTCCCCAAGTGCTGGCTGTTTCTTCACGGACGACATCAAGGAACAAACCAACTCCATATTCCGAAGTGATGGAGACCTCCCATCCGATATCGAGGCACCTCTGGTTCTGGAAAACGTTTGCCTGCCTGGGTGTGCGGCAGGTGACAACAAGCCCCAACAGGCACCGGAATCGGACGCAGGCCCGGCTGTGAATCTTGTCCCATCCCCTCTTGACGAAGCCAACCCTGCGGCGGATAAAGGGCTGGCGGATGTCCCAGAAGCGCCTGCCTTGGGTCCAGAGTCTCAACCTGCCGAATTGCAGTGGACAAACATTGACCTGAAGGAAGCCAAGAAGCCAGCTGCGGCCTCTGCAAGCGCCTCGGCTGAGGCATCCAGCCTGTCCTCTTTTGGCACGTTGTCCGTTGGCATAGAGGATCATCTGGAGGCCGACGAACATCCGTTGTGGGCCTGGGTCTGTGGCGGAGGCTGCTTTGTGGATTCACACAGCTCCCTCAAGTGGTTCACGGTGCAGTCAGGTGGGGGAGATTTCCAGTGTTTGAACCATCTCCATGTCCCATTCTGAATGTGTACACTTCCCCTGTGGTCCTTCCTTCCCATTGATCCAGCCCTGTAAGGTCCCACTTTTAAATATCTATCCTTTGGTCACGGACTTAACATTGAGACACACCTAAGTTTCTGGTAAACCTGCGTCTAGCCTGTACTACTTAAGACAGCAGGTGGGAATTCACATGACTGTTCTGTACAAAATAGTTCAGTATACAAGGAAAACTATCCAGATCTTTCTGGAGATGGATTCTAGGCAACCTTTCCCTGACCAGCTGGTGGTGTGTTCTTTTCTTTTTGTGAAGGAATGTTGAACCCTCACAAGTGGCCTGAAATTGTATAGTCCAGACATAGGTCTGCTGTCTCATTCATTTATAAGAACTAGGCCTGAAGCCTGGACAAGTCTCTATGAGTAAGGCCGACCCCTTTCCCTCAGATTTGCAAGACTCCTGGCATTTGTGCGACTATCTCTTCACTTTAAGTTAGCCTTCTCCAGAGCTGAGTCCCTTGATGGTGTCGGACTACAGCTCCCATCATCCCTGATAGTTGCGCATGTTGGTAGAGGCTGATGGGAGTTGTAGTCCAGCAACATCTGGAGCTGGGGTCAGCAAACTTTTTCAGCAGGGGGCCGGTCCACTGTCCCTCAGACCTTGTGGGGGGGCCGGACTATATTTAGGGGGGGAGAATGAACAAATTCCTATGCCCCACAAATAATCCAGAGATGCATTTTAAATAAAAGCACACATTCTACTCATGTAAAAACACGCTGATTCCCAGACCGTCTGCGGGATTTAGAAGGCGATTGAGTTGGATCTGGGCCCTGGGCCTTAGTTTGCCTACCCATGATCTGGAGAAACAACACATTGGCTTCTGATAAAACATAGTGCTATGTTTTTTCTCATCTTCCTAGTAAATGGTCTTGGAACCCTACCTCAAACTTTGGTACCTCCTATCTTGGGCAATGAAGTCTGTGTGTGGCGGTGGGATGTACAAAGTTGCCTCACATCCATGCCAAACATATAAAGCACTTGGCTTCCCCTAGAGAATCCTGGGAACTGTAGTTTACCTCTCAGGTAGCTACAGTTCCTGGCACCTTTCACAAACTACAGTTCCCAGAAACCCGCCTTATACTGAGTCAGACTCGGTGGTCCATCTAGCTCCATACTGCCTACACTGACAGGCAGCAGTTCCCCTGGGTTCCTGATAGGGAACATTGCCAGCTGTACCTGGGCATTGAACCTGGGACCTCCTGCATGCAGGGCAGTTGCTCTAACATTGAGGTGCTCTCCTTCCCCAGGTAGAAGCAATGGCTTACCTGTCTAAGCAGTGTTGTCTCTCCTGACTTCCGGTGGCTCTCTCAGGTGTCAGGCAGAAGTTATCACATCACCAACTTCCTGGTCCTTTTTGAACCAAAAGTGACAGGGATTGAACTTGAGGCCTTCTGGTTGTTCTGTTGCCTAGTCCTTAATTATGTGCTCCTCCTTTTCTGCCGTAGCCTTATCCTCTTCCGGGCAGTCCCTCTCTCTCTCCATCACCCCGGCACAGACTGCCGTGTGGCGGAAGCAGATCTTTCAGCAGCTCACGGAAAGAACTCGGCGGGAGGTGGAGAACTTCCGACACTACGAACAGGCTGTTGAGCAGGTAAGCCTGGAGAGAGGTTGCCATCTTTTCCTGCATTTTGACTTTCAAAATGAGCAAGCTGAGGGACTCTGAAGGACCTCGGAGATGGGCTGAAAACTCTCCAAACTACATTTTTCATGCAGTCTTGACATTATGTATTAAGAGCTTTATGGCTAAGTTCCTAATACAGTGGTACCTCTGGATGCGAACGGGATCTGTTCTGAGCCCCGTTCGCATCCTGAAGCGAACGTAACACGCGTGTGCGCGGGTCACGTTTCGCCGCTTCCACGCAGGCGTGTGATGTCACTTTGAGCATCTGCGCATGCGCGAGCGGCAAAACCCGGAAGTAACGCACTCAGTTACTTCTTGGTCACCGTGGAGCGCAACCTGAAAATACTTAACTTGAAGCTACTTCAACCCGAGGTATGACTGTATATATTAAGAGTTTTATCGCTGAGTTCCTAATAATAGTAGTAAACATGACTATACCTCTGTTATGGGAGCATGTTATGGAGGAGGGGAGAAGCAGGTTGAAGTCTCTTTAGGGCCAGAAAAAAAATGATTGGATGCAGCATGAGGTTCTAGGACCTATGTGTTTGCCACCCCTACCATACAGAGTGAGGCCAGGGGGGGATCAGGTTCCATGCCTCAAGATGCTTACAACCTACAGTTCTATCAATGGGTGCGCCGAAAGGAATTTGACCTGTCTAACCTACTTTTAAAGTTGTGTAAGTCGATCACTATCACCACATCCTGTGGCAAGAAATTCCATCGTTCAAGAGCATAAATAAGTACTTTTGTCTGGAACCTTCCACCCAGCAACTTCGCTGGATGGCCCCAGAGAAGGGGGGGAAATCTCTGTCTGCTTTCTCTGCACAACCACCATAGTATAACCTTTTGTCCGCTACTGTCTGTAGTAGAGAGGAGGAGTGATGGAGGGAAGGGGAGCGGAGGTGTTTTGCCCCCTTGTGGCTTCTGCACCTAAATGATGCTGTTGGGTAGTTGTGGTTTTATTGCATTGTATTCATTGGACGCGGGTGGCGCTGTGGGTTAAACCACAGAGCCTAGGACTTGCCAATCAGAAGGTCGGCGGTTCGAATCCCCGCGAAGGGGTGAGTTCCTGTTGTTCGGTCCCTGCTCCTGCCCACCTAGCAGTTCGAAAGCACGTCAAAGTGCAAGTAGATAAATAGGTACCGCTGTGACGGGAAGGTAAACGGCGTTTCCGTGCGCCGCTCTGTTTCGCCAGAAGCGGCTTAGTCATGCTGGCCACAGGACCCGGAAGCTGTATGCCGGCTCCTTCGGCCAATAAAGCAAGATGAGCGTCGCAGCCCAGAGTCGGTCACGACTGGACCTAATGGTCAGGGGTCCTTTTACCTTTACCTATTGTATTCATTTCATTTCATTTTTGCCTCTCCAGTCTGTCTGGGTCAAAACTGGAACCTTGCAGTGGTGGAGAAGCTGGAAGCCTTACAGGTGGGTTGATGTGCGGGTGGCCCTAGAGCAGTTCACCGGGAACGACGGCACACGGGACAGCATCCTCTTCATCTATTACATGCACTACGAGGAGAAGAAGGTACTGGCGCGTGGCCATATTCTCTCTAGAAAAGCCACACTGAGCTCTCTGCGCTGTGTCTGTATTTTATGCACTGATTTGCTTTGTAAATTTATAACATGATGTGAGATGGATTTTCCACCCACCCCAGAAAACTTTTCAGTACTCTACGTTTCTGTGAAAATGTCCGAAAAATGCGTTGTTTGCTTCATATAATTAATCAGCAGCATAATAAGCAGATGCAATACCATTCAAATGGGTCGATTGCCAAATTCTTAATTTCTCCTCCTTGAAGCATTCACACCTATATAACATATATATGAATATCTCTTCCATTGTGCTAAAATTAGCATTTAGCATTTTTAAGTACAGTGGCTTCTGATTGGCTGCAGGAAGCTCCTGCAGCCAGTGGAAAGCCCTGTGAGACATTCGGCTTCCAAAAAAAGTTCAGAAACTGGAACACTCACTTCCAGTTTTCGGTCTTTCGGGAGCTGAAACGTTGGGCAACTAAGCCGTTCGAAATCCAAGGTACGACTGTATATGACGAAACTGTTTGGAAAAGGGAGGATACTTCTATTTCTAATTATCCAAATACATGTTGGAGTACAAGGCACCATCTTAGATGATGGCCTCCTATGTGAGGAACGTGGGAATGTGCCTTATACTGGCAGATTCCTGACCATAGACCCATCTAGTTCAGTATTGTCTACACTGGCAGGCAGTGGCTCCCCAAGATTCCAGACTGCAGACTTTTCCAACCCTACCTGGAGATGCCAGGGACTGAACCTGGGACCTTCTGCATGCAGAGCAGGTGCTCTACCACTGAGCCAGGACCGTTCACCCAATGCTTTCCACCAGATTCTTTAAAAATTCCGAGATTCAGTTGTTATTACCGTATTTTTCGCTCTATAGGAAGCACTTTTTCCCTTCCAAAAATTAAGGGGAAATGTGTGTGCGTCCTATGGAGCGACTCCTTGGCTTCAGCGATAGCAACACGAAGCCTCCAAAGCACAGAGGGAGCGCTCCCTCCGTGCTCCAGAGGCTACGCGTTGCTTTCGCTGAAGCCTGGAGAGCGAGAGGGGTCGGTGTGCACTGACCCCTCTCTCTCTCCAGGCTTCAGGGATAGCCGCCTGAAGCCTTTGGAGCGCAACGGGAACTCACACTGCGCTCCAAAGGCTTCAGGTTCCTTTTGCTGAAGCCGGGAGAGCAAAACTCTCCTGGCTTTAGCAGAGAGGGAGAGCTGCGCAGCGCCCCTTCAGCCAAGCGGGAGGAGAACTGGAAGGGTCTCCATTTCTCCTGCCGCTTGGCTGAAGGGGCGCTGAGCAGAGAGGGGGAGGTTTTTTTTTCTTGTTCTCCCCCTCTAAAACAAGGTGCATCCTATGGTCAGGTGAATGCGCTCCTCAGTAAAAAAAAGCTTGTATTTTGTGTGTGTGTGTTTTCCCAGTACATCCATGTGTTCCTCAATGAAGTCACCATCCTGGTTGAGATCCTAAACGAGGCCAAACATTCCTTCGCTCTGTATACGCCGGAAAAAACCAAGCAGCGCTGGCCCATCCGACTAGCGGCTGCCACCGAACAGGAGATGCACGACTGGGTGAGCTCAAAGACCAGATGCATGTTGAAATCAACAGAGCATGTTTTGAAATTCATTCCTTGTGTATCAGATTCGAATATTGCCTTAAAAAAAAAAAAAAGCTCCCATCTGCACTATACATTTAAAGCAGTATGATACCACTTTATCACTCATGGCTTCCCTCAGAGAATCCCAAGAAACGTAGTTCAGTGAGGCTGTTGAGAGGTGTTTAGACCTTTCGTTCCCACAATTCCCAGAGTTCTCTGGGGAAAGGGATAGACCAGCGGTTCTCAACCTGTGGGTCCCCAGATGTTGTTGGACTACAACTCCCATCATCCCTGAGCTCTGGCCTTGCTAGCTAGGGGTGATGGGAGTTGTAGTTCAACAACATCTGGGGCCCCACAGGTTGAGAAAGGCTGGGATAGACTGTTAAATCATTTTGAGAATTTTACAGTTAGCCATCCATCCCTCTTCTCCAGGAAACTCTGGGAATTGTGGCTCTGTGAGGGGGAATAGGGGGTCTCCTAACAACTCACAGCACCCTTAGCAAACTACACTTCCCATGATCCTTTAGGCAAAGCCATGACTGATAACATAGTAGGATGCTTTAAATCAGGGGTGTCCCAACTTCCAAGAGACTGCGATCAACTCCCACTATAAATAAACTGGCAGTGATCTACCCAGTTTATTGACCAGAGTTGTTGAGCTTTTTCCGGTTGGACAGGCCTGCTTTAAATGCATAGTGTCATCTCTTGATTCGTATTTTAAAGGAGCTGCAATGCTCAAACTGCTGGTGTTCCCCGTGACTAAATGTGTCCTCCTCTCGTGCCTCCCAGCTGGCTCTCCTGAGCATGTCCTGCTGCGAAAGCCGGCAGATCCAGGGGCCCCCCTCCCATCAGGCCATCTGGTCCGTGACCTGCAAAGGGGACATCTTCGCTAGTGAGCCAAGTCCCGACATGGAGGCAGCGACACACCCAACACCGTGTGACCAAATGTAAGAAAGCTTTAATAAGTCTCCCTTGCTAATGGATTATATGTGTGGCTGCAAATTTGCCCTTTTTTTGCCGGGTTGGGGGGGGAATCAAACACATGGCAAATTTCGATTGACCGGCAGAGGACAGGCCCGAACCTGTTCCAATAAACTCAGAGGTCTCTACTGGGGTTGTTTCCTAGCCAATTTAAGGGCTCTCTCACTCTCCTTAGCCTACCTTACAGGTTGTTTTACGGCTATTGAGGGATCCAGGTGTGCGTCCCCAAACTCGTTGGAGGAGGGATGGGCTAAAATTGCAATAAAAATAAGAATGTTCGTTTATAGAATAGGTGGATTGGTTTCAGCAGTTCTCAACCTGTGGGTTCACAGATGTTGTTGGACTGCAACTCCCATCATCCCTGAGGTCTGGCCTTGCTAGCTAGGGGTGATGGGAGTTGTAGTCCAACAGTATCTGGGGACCCACAGGTTGAGAAAGGCTGGTTTAGATGGTTCTGTATCCTGGGGGAATGCTGAGCAGATTTTTTTTTGTCCTGCAGGTTCTGGCGCCAGATAGGTGGACATCTCCGAATGATTGAATGCAACAGCCGCGGCATAGTCTGGGGCGTGGGGTATGACCACACCGCCTGGGTTTACACCGGTGGATATGGAGGAAGTTTCTTCTCAGGTAAGAAATATATTTTCATTTTGACCTCTGTACTTGCAGGGGGGCCTAGATGGCGCCCCTGGGTGGGACATCCCACCTGCCAATGACCTGGCATTATAATTGACAGGTGGGATATCTTACTATATAATAATATCTCTATGACTGCCATCACGCTGGCGACCCAAGTGCACATGCGCAGCAACCCCTTGCAATTCAGGAGTCTCTACTAGATCATACATGACAGAGGGCCATCCAATTTCTGCTGAAAAACCTCCAAGGAAGGAGAGTCCATCACCTCCCAAGGGAACCCGTCCCACTGTCAAGCAGTTCTTAGTGTCGAAAAGTTCCTCCTGACGTTTATTCAGAATCTCCTTTCTTGGAGCTTAGAGCCATTGTTTTGGGTCTACCCTCCTGAAAACAAGCTTGCTCCATCCTACATAAGACTGCCCTTGAGATATTTGAAGATGGCTATCATAGCTCCGAGGACGCGGGTGGCGCTGTGGGTAAAACCTCAGTGCCTAGGGCTTGCCGATCGCATGGTCGGCGGTTCGAATCCCCGCGGCAGGGTGAGCTCCCGTCTTTCGGTCCCAGCTCCTGCCCACCTAGCAGTTCGAAAGCACTCTTAAGTGCAAGTAGATAAATAGGTACCACTTTATAGCGGGAAGGTAAATGGCGTTTCCGTGTGCTGCGCTGGCTCGCCAGAGCAGCTTCGTCACGCTGGCCACGTGACCCGGAAGTGTCTCCGGACAGCGCTGGCCCCCGGCCTCTTAAGTGAGATGGGCGCACAACCCTAGAGTCGGACACGACTGGCCCGTACGGGCAGGGGTACCTTTACCTTTACCTTTATCATAGCTCCTCTCGATCTGCACTTTTCCAGGCTAAACATACCCAAGTCCCACAACCGTTCCTCATAAACCTTGGTTTCCAGATCCTTTATGAATCTCTTCCCATAAGATCTCACAGTAAAGGTAAAGGACCCCTGACAGTTAAGTCCAGTCGCGGACGACTCTGGGGTTGCGGCGCTCATCTCACTTTACAGGCCGAGGGAGCTGACGTTTGTCCGCAGACAGTTTTCCCGGGTTATGTGGCCAGCATGACTAAACCGCTTCTGGCGAACCAGAGCAGCACACGGAAACGCCGTTTACCTTCCCGCTGGATTGGTACCTATTTATCTACATGCACTTTGACAGCAATAAAAACAATTCCATATGTAGAAACAATTTCAAATCTAATACAGATACAGACTGGTATTATACACAGTATTATATTTTGTGTGTGTGTATTTATAGACACATACATGGATATACATTCATACACATTCCTGTATATATTAATTTAGGGAAGGATATCAATATTTAAAATGGGAAATGGACGTTCAATATTAGGGTGTGATTAATGGTCTGGGTCTTGTAGGTCTAGCAAGCAGCGCAGATAACATTTACTCGCAGTCGGATGTGAAGTGTGTCTACATTTATGAGAATCAGCGGTGGAATCCTGTCACTGGATACAGCAGCAGGTACGGGGTGCCGAGGGGCAAACTTCAGAGTGACTCTCTTGGGGTACGTCCATTGGAGTCTACTGGTCTTACTTGGCTGACTCTATTCATTTTTTTAGTTGTCGTTTTTAACAGCAAGCAAGCAACCATTTCCATTTGCTCTGCCCACTAGCATCAAAACCTGGTTTTGATTCTGGATTGTGGTCCTTGCAAGATGACTTGCCCACATCTGTGTGCGTTGAACATTTCAAATAATAATAATAACAACAACAACAACAACAAATTTATTATTTATTTATTATTTTTAATATACTCCCAACAGTATATTAAAAACACGATAAAACATCAAACATTAAATGCTTCCCTAAACAGGGCTGCCTTCAGATGTCTTCTAAAAGTCAGATAGTTGTTTATTTCCTTGACATCTGATGGGAGAACGTTCCACAGGGTGGGTGTCACTCCTGAGAAGGCCCTCAGCGCTGGCCCTCAATGTCTGGGCTGAATGATGGGGGTGGAGACGCTCCTTCAGGTATACTGGGCCGAGGCCATTGAGGGCTTTAAAGGTCAACACCAACACTTTGAATTGTGCTTGGAAATGTACTGGGAGCCAATGTAGGTCTTTCAGGACCTTTCAAACTCTTAGGTCTGATAGTTCACCAAGCTTGGGAGGCCTAGGAAGTTCTCTGCACTGGGTAAATACTAGATTTCACCACTTGAGGGTGTGTTTGCCCAAAAACGTTTAGCATGGGTGCCGGGACCAGGTGGTTGGGTGGAAGAAAGCATGCCTAGGACCCGCTTTGTGGAAACTGCACGGCTCAATTTTGTTGTCAAGACAAACAATTTTTCTGCTTATATATTTGCCAAGAAATGTAACTTCTGAATGAGATAAATCTGCTTATGGATTTGATGTATTTATATCTTGCCTTTCTCCCAAGTTGGGATTCAAGGTGGCTATGCCAAAATGGACTATGCCAAAATGGCAAAATTAACTGAGAAGCTCAGGAATCAAGAAGACAAGGAATTTAAAAAAGAATGGGAAATGTTTATACAAAATCATTGTAAACAGGTCAAAACATTAGCAGGATTTTAAATACACTTGTAACAACATATAGATAATTTAGGAAGATGAAAAATTGGAGAAGTACTGATATGCAGTTGAAAATAGAATTAAAAGGACCCATGGAAGGGATGTGGAGGAGTCAGGAGATTCAGAGTAATCTCAATATTTGGATTTTGTACTGTTTTATGTTGTATGTTTATATCCTTGAAAATCAATAAAAAAGATTATTAGATTTTTAAAAAAACCACCAACATAATCTGTGCCTAGTTTTCAAAGGATAGGAAGGTCTTAGACTGCTGGCAGAAGGATGATAATAATCATCATAATAATTTATTACTTATACCCTGCCCATCTGGCTGGGCCTCCCAGCCACTTTGGCCGGCTTCCAACAGAATATTAAAAACACAATAAAACATCAAAGATAGTGAGGGAGCTAGTCCAACCTCTTTTGGGAGGGAATTCCACAATCTTGGGGCAGCCACCGAAAAGGCTCTGTCTCATGTCACCACCAACTGTGCCTCTGATGTTGATGAAACCGAGAGAAGGTGGGCTTGGAACTATGTTTCATGCCTCATCGGTGACCTGGGAATTGACCACAGCTTCCTTCATTTTAACTGCCATGTAATGTAAGGAAAGGCCTGGATTCCAGCTCTGAAAATCACACTGGGAAATAGCAGAGGAGCGGCAGGGAGCCCAGAAGCTCAAGCACCGCTAAACCGTGGTTGGATGTTACACGTGGACCCAACTCAGCAAAGTCTCAAAGGCTGCTCCCTAATACAGTCATACCTTATGTTGCATCTGCTTCATGCTGTGTCTTTTCACGTTACGACCCGCAGCAACCCAGAAGTACCGGAACGGGTTACTTCCGGGTTTTGCCGCATGCGCAGAAGCGCCAAATTGCGCCGTGCGCCTGCGCAGATACAGCACTTTGAGTTGCGGGCATTTCACGTTAACGGACGGGCCCCCAGAACAGATCCTAGCCGTAATACAAGGTACCACTGTATGCTGTTATGCAAGGAAGGCATTTCTGGTGTGAAGTGGTTTCTTTTAGGCTGCAACACACAGGACTGAACTCCACTGAACAGAATGGGACTTAACTAACTGAGTCAGCACACAGAAGATCAGGCACTGAGCGTCCTGTGTGTGTTTTGTCTTACAGGGGCCTCCCCACGGATCGGTATATGTGGAGCGATGCCTCCGGCTTGCAGGAGTGTACGAAGACCAACACCAAGCCCCCGTCACCACAATGGTCTTGGGTAAGCGGACTGGACCGTTCTGGACATTGCCCTGTTGCAAAGATGAACTGACTTGCAGCAACAGATTTTCTGGAGATGTATCCCTCCCTGTCCCAGCTAAGTGCCTTTGGACAAGTCACAAGCCTGTATGCCATGTACGGAGGTGGATGATTGATTCACCTAGCTCAGTATTGTCTACACTGACTGACAGCAGCTCTCCAGGGCTTTGGGCAGGGTAGACTCTCCCTTCCATATCTGACGATCCTGGGATTGAACCCAGGACTTCCTGCATGCGAGGCAGATCCTCTACCACTGAGCTACAGCCAGGGAAGGTTCCTAGAACCATAGAATTTTCGAGCTGGAAGGGACCCCGCATCATCTAGTCCAACCCTCTGTGATACAGGAATCTCAGCTATAGCATCCATGAGAGATGGCCACCTCTGCTTAAAAACCTCCAAGGAAGGAGATTCCCCCATCTCTTTGTGAGAGTCTGTTCCACTGTCGAACAGCTCTTACTGATATTTCGTTGGACTCTCCTTTCTTGTAACTTGAATCCATTCGTTCGGGTCCCACCGCTCTATTTGCTGCCTACTCCAGTTTCGAAAAGGATATTGGAAAATCCTGTGTGACAACTAGTTTTTCCCTAAACTAGTTTTTTTCTGTTTTGCACTGGGAGTTTTTCGGTTGGGAATGTATGGATAGGATCAGTGTGAGAACCCTTGACTGCTGGTGTAGAACTGCCTTGGCCTACCCCCTCGCCTGTTCCCACCTCCCATTTTTTAATTTCCCACAATTCCCCCAAAGGGCCCAACCATAGCTTTGCTCCAGGTCATTGTGGTGACTTTAACCTGGCTTTCCAGACCCAACTGCTGCTACTGGAGGAAGCCACCAGGGGGCACCCTGCTAGGAGCTTTCTCAAAATTTATGTTGCTGGTCCTGGATAGGGATCAGTTTTCTTCTCCTTCTCCTTCTGAATTCTTGACTCTCTCTCCACTCAATCCAGGTTTCTGACTGGTACATCGATTTTAGCGTTTCGGGCGGCACTGATCGGGAAGGGTGGCAATACGCAGCTGACTTTCCAGCGTAAGGCTTATTGTTTTCTTTACTACTGCTAAATGGTTTGGCTTGCATAAGTTACCTCCCCTGTATCTGCTTATGAAGTCTTAAGAATGGCAACAGGAACAGAAGCTTTTGAGAAAAAACACAGGGGGGAAATATTAGGTTGTAAGCCATTCAAGGTTACTTCCACACCATACATCTAAAGAGTTCTTGTTAGACCTCTGTTGCCCTCACAGAGCAACAGTTTTCAGAGTGGCTGAACAATCTAATCCCTCTTCAGAGGGAACTCATGAAATTAAAGGCCTGTGAAGGGGAATAAGGGACTCCTAACAACTCTCAGCACTCTTAACAAACTACAGCTCCCAGAATTCTTTGGGGGAAGCCATGACTGCTTAAAGCGGTATCATAATGCTTCAAATGTACAGTATGAATGTGACCCAAGATTCTCGTTTCTGCATTTATTGGGTTAAAATTTATTTTTACCTAACGTTCAGGTGGGGCCTGCTGCTGTCTGGGCCCCGCCATTTTCATTTCCCATGATGCCCTCCACAGTGTTGCTCCAGGGGATTGTGGGAAATTAAAATGGCATCTGCAAGAATGGCTGCCCACAGGAAGCATTCCAGTGGTGGGAGAAGTAAAAAGCTAATTGGAGAAGATTGGTGCTTGTACGTTTTGCCTCATATCTCAGGTTCTACAAATGCTAAAATCTTGCTTTAAAAAAAATTAGGATCTTCTTGGAGGCAGGGGGCAGAGAACAGCCCCCTCGCTCTCTAGACACCTGTATGTCCAAGTAGCCCAGCACTGATTACAGCACATCCGCTGCTGCTGCCACCAGATTAATCCCACCAAGGCCTTCTTCAAATTTGGAGCTGGACCTCACTGCAGGGTTGTTGTGAAGAGGAAAGGGACCAAGTTTGTGCACCTTGGAGGGAAATGGGGAGGATCAAAGTAAATTCAAAATCTGGTGCTCTTTGTGCCTGTATCAGTTTATGGAACCAACAGCAAGAAGATCTGGATTTGTTTCATTACTCATGTCCCATTAGACTGTACAGAACTCCATAAGCTCCATTTATACGAAAAATAAATCTGGCACCGGGGTGTTGCTTTGCTCTTTAGCAAAAGTTCACTCGTGACAAGTGGCTAACCCCCAACATAGGAGTCTGGTTGGCCCAACAAGCCACCCTTTGTCTGAGAAGGGCCAGGACCTCTTTATCTTTTTGCCGGTGGACAGTGTTAAAAAACAGTGCGTCTCTCCTTCCTGCAGGTCTTATCACGGGCACAAGACAATGAAGGACTTTGTGCGACGAAGGCGCTGGGCCAGGTAAAGCACATCACACTCAAAAATAGTTTAGGTACCTCTCAGGTATATTGCGGGAGGGGGAAAAGAATTTTCCCTTCCTTTGCACGTACATTGGCCTGCTTCCCTTACCACATACTTTGTCGATTTTTAAAATCTGATTCTATTCTATACTGCTTTAAGTATAGTTAACAGCCTTACTACGGAGTCATTGGCAGCTGTTAAAGATGGTTCATAAGAATCTATTAATAGCCCTGCCATCCTGTTCTCACAGTGACCGACCAGATCAGGGGTCGGCAAGGCTTACCGGGCATGGGCCAGATCACTCCCACGGAGATCCTCCATGGGCCGGACTGGCGCAGCGCAATGCCGGAAATCACGTCTGAGCATGTCCGCAACGCCAGAAATCGCTTCTGCGCATGCCCAGATGCCGAAATCACACCTGCGCAGAAGCGATTTCTGACGTCTGGGCATGTGCAGAAGCAATTTCCGGAGCGGTGGAAGAGAGTACCCGTGCTGCGCTGCGCCGGTTTAGCGCAGCGCACAGGGACTCACCAAGCGGGCGGCTCGTGGACCAGTTAAACAGATGCTCATGGGAAGCTTGCAAACTGGACGCGATGAGTGCTCAACAGCACTCCTGCCCCACTTGCAATTCCCAACAACTCCTATTCAGAGTTATAATGGCGAATACGCAGTCTCCCTGATCTCTCTGGTCTTTGTGAGTTTCAGTATGAACAGACCCCCAGCCCCTGCCCCCTGGACTAGTGCAAGGATTGGGGCCATCGCTCGCCATTGAGCTGGCAAAATGCACCTGGCCATCGAGGGCTTTTAAAGTCAACACCAATACATTGAATTGTGCTCAGATACATAATGGGAGTCAGCGTAGATCCTTTAGGACCGGCCTTCCAATCTCCACTCAACCTCCCCGCTTCGCCAATAAAGCAAAGCAAATGTAGGAGGAATGAGTTGGGTAGTTTTTTTATTTCCGTGCCAAGGTGGAAGGCATCAGTGCCCTGATCATTCTCTTTGCCCTTTGACCTCCCGACCACCACACAGCGGTGCCCTTATTAGCTTGGCTTTCTAAATATCTTCTTGTGCTGAACTGCTGTTCATCCAGCCCCAACATTGCATCATGCTCATTTGGCTAATCGGTAAAACACACATGCCTTCGTTAGCTTCTGTAAACCTACAACTTGAATTGCTGCCCACTGCAGTTTTTGGCCTCCCCTTGGCTGCAGGTTCAGGTTTTTCTGGGCCCTGAAGCGCCAGTTCCTGGTGCTTAGCAGGGCTCCCTCGGGTCTCAAACCGTTGTATATCCTGCAGCTGCAAATGGGGAAAAGAAGGGGTTGTTTGGCCCTCGAAGTTCAGCCACGTTCCCCCCGCAATTCCCTGCGTCAGGTTTTGAAAGCGTTTGCTTCCTGCCACCCGCGATCCTTCTCACAGTGCTTCATAGCATCATAAATGTTCATGCATTTGTAAGAAATTGATCTTCAGTATTGTCTACTCTGGCTGGCAGCAGTCCCCATAATTTTAGGAAGAGAGTCTCTCCCAGAGCTACCTGCAGATGCTGGGGATTGAACCTTGGACTTCCTGCGTGTAAGGCAGGTCCTCTGCCATTGCTCTTTTACTCACCTCCTTTCTCTCTCCCTTGCCTTTCCAGGAAATGCAGATATGTCACCAGTGGTCCTTGGCTGGAAGTCCCCCCAATAGCCCTGTGGGACGTTTCCATCATTCCTGAATCTCTGGCTGCTGAGGACGAGTTTGTGGCTCTCTGGGCTATCAGCGACAAGGGAGATGTGCTTTGTCGACTATGCATCACGCCCCAAAACCCAGCTGTGAGCCTTTTATTTTCTTGTGTGTTCGTGCAAACTGAGCACCTGAAATGAATCTAAATAACATCACTTGTGCACTTTTCTAGTTTGTAAGCTCTTGGGTGAGCTCCCGTTGCTCGGTCCCTGCTCCTGCCAACCTAGCAGTTCGAAAGCACTTCAAAGTGCAAGTAGATAAATAGGTACCGCTCTGGCGGGAAGGTAAACGGCGTTTCCATGCACTGCTCTGGTTCGCCAGAAGCAGCTTAGTCATGCTGGCCACATGACCCGGAAGCTGTACACCAGCTTCCTTGGCCAATAAAGCGAGATGAGCACTGCAACCCCAGAGTTGTCCATGACTGGACTGGACCTAACAGTCAGGGGTCCCTTTACCTTTACCTTTATGCTCTTCGGTAATCAGTTATAAATGCTGTTTTTTTAATGGGGCATGTTAGGGTCAATCCTCATTTAGTTCAGGCCTGGGGGACCTGTGGCCTTCCAGGTGTTAGGATCGCATCATAGAATTTTAGAGTTGGAAGGGACCATGGGGTCATCTGAGTCCATCCTCTTGCAATGCAGGAATCTTTTGCTCATCATGGGGCTCAAACCCACAACCCTGAGATTAAAAGTCTCATGCTCTACCAACTGAACTTGAGCTCCAACTCCCATCAGTCCCAGCCATAACTTCATGCGTCTGATAGATGACTGTAGCCCATAAATGCTTCTACTACCAATAAGGTGGCTACCCCCTTGGAAACTGTGTCAGCTGTGCAGTGTCACTTCAAACATACCTAGGGGGACCCGTGGAGTTTTATCTTCTTGCTAGCTATCTTCCCATTCAAGTAACATTTCTATACTCTGAATCCCACCTCTTTTTTGCCATTGTGTTCCATTTATATCTAATAGACACGACACAAAAGGAAAGGGGGAAGAGGAGGGCCGATGAAAACAAGCGAATCCAGGAGCCAGTGCTTAACATTACACAGTTGTAGCAATGGCAAGGTGGAACAACCACTGAAGGGAGGCAGTGGTGGGATGGGAGGAGCCAAGTGGCAAGTGACTCCCCACTGAACTTACTAAACAAGGCCTTCCTGTCTTGCCTCTGATGGAGACAGTTCTGGAAAGTGGCGAGGGATTTGGGGAAAGGAAGGGTCCCAGCAGCGGATGGAAGCAGAGCCAACGATGGCCATATTTATAGCTTTGTCCCCATTCTCCCACATAGTTTTACAAGGGCAGCACTGAGGCTGAGGAGGAAGCAGAACAGACAGAGCCACCTTCTGGACCAGTTAGAAAGTAGAAAGGCTGAGGTTGGTGGAGCAGTGCCGCATTGCCCTAACTGAGCCCAACCAGGTCAACAAAGGGGGTCTGACTGGGTCCCCTCATCCCCCAGCAGCAGCCTGAGACCGCATCTAGCATTGGAGTTTTGAACTTCAGTGCTTGTAGTCAGCCTACCTTGCACCTAGAACCAAATGCTTCTTTGAAGAAATCCTGTTGCATTTTCAGTAGGCCGTTCCAGTCTCAGGACACAGTCATGCAACTTTGCTTGCCCTGGGAATTGCTTTGCAGAAGGATGAAATCCTCTGTTATTGTTACCTGTCTTAGAAGTTCAGGAACCACTGAAATTGGATAGCTAGTGCATTCTCTCTCTTCCCCTCCCCTGCCCCCCAATTAGGGAACATCCTGGCTCCACGTGGGAACAGATCAGCCCTTTGTTTCGGTTTCCATCGGAGCATTTCACCAGGTTTGGGCCGTGGCCCGCGATGGCTCCATCTTCTATCGCGGTTCAGTATCGCCAAAGAAACCTGAAGGTAAGCCTGTGACCACTGGCCACATGTTTATTTTTTTTAGTTAACAAAACTTAACACCCTGCTTTGATTGAAGTAAAACCTCTTAAGTGGTTTGCAGGAAACATTTAAACCACAGTGGTACCTCGTGTTACGTACCGCCCCCCTTACGAATGCTGTGGGTTACGCGCTCCGCTAACCCAGAAGTAGATGCCCCTTGTTGCGACCTTTGCCCCAGGATGCGAGCGGAAGTCATGCTCCGGGGGCACGGCAGCAGCGGGAGGTGCCATTAGAGAAAGCATGCCTCATGTTATGAGCGGTTTCCTGTTACAAACGGACCTCCGGAATGGATTAAGTACAAAACACGAGGTACCACTGTATTGGCAATACTAAAACGATTAGAAATATTTTTTAAAAAATATATATTATTTTATCAATCAAAACAGTTAAGAGCCATTAAAAACATTTGAAGATAATTAAAATTAACAGTAAAAAGAAGAAAGATTGAAGCACATCAACACCTGCATCCCTGCACCTACAAAATTAGCATGTCCAGGAGAAGAGTTTTAGGCTTGTTTTCCTGTGTGCATGGACCCAGATCACTTTGCCCTCTCTGGAGTGATGTGGATTAGGTCTTGCAGAAGAAGGCGAGCAGATGGACAATGGCAAAAAGGTGAATCCACTCTGGGAGGGGGTCCCACTGGGGGAATCCTGTGCAAGTCCAGATCTAGAGCCACCACTGAGTATGGTGAAGATAACGTGATAAGCCAAAGTATAGCTGCCCCACGGGAAAAGGGCCAGAACAGTCCCTCTGCTGTGTTGATTCCTGCATGCGGGTGTTTCTGAAGGTTCTGGGTTTTGCATCACTGACTATAAATCATGCTGTAATTATTAGTGTTGTTTCATGGCTGTCTGGCTGTCTCTGTCATTGTACAGGTGACTGCTGGTACCATATTCCTTCTCCCCCGAAGCAGAAGATAAAGCAAGTCTCTGTTGGGCGAACCTCTGTCTTTGTTGTGGATAAAAATGGTGAGCTGCTAGCTTTCTGTTTCCAGAGGGGTGTAGTCCACTGCTGTCTTAAATCTGTTGCACCAAAACACAACCAGGAATCTTATGGCACCTTAAAAGATAAGGGGTGTCTGCAACCAGTATTGAATGATTATTTGTCAGGAACTGAGATTGTGCAGTAGCACCAGGTGTGTTTTGATTATGGAGTTGTGAGGGAGCAAGAGGAAGTACCTGCAAGTCCCACTGTCACAACTCTCATTATCTGAAATCTCAGTTATCCAAACACAAAGAATTGTACCCAAATCTTGCTACACGAACAGCTGATTCAGATATCCAAACATTTGGAGTTTGCCACTTACTTGTTTGTGTTTTTATGGTCATCCAGAACCATTTTGGAGGGAAACCAGGGAGGGAGGGAGAGAAATCAGACAAATCACGGATTAGAAATGTTCCCATAGGAAATAATGGAAATCATCAGCTCATTATGTGAACCTTCGCCCAATGATCGATTTCCTGGGAGTGCATGGTGTTCAGAAAGTGGGATCTGTGTGTAATTTTGTTCCCAACCCAGGGGGTGAGAGCCAGGGGTTTCTGCAGGCATTGGCTGCCAGTGGGAATTTTCTTTCATGCAGCCTATGTTCGCAAAATGCAGGCTTCTTTTCCCCCTTCCCGTCAGTTGATGGGAAGGGGGGGAAATAAGATTTTGCCAGCTCACTGATCAGCACTTCGGGAACCAAAAAAAAAAGATCACCACTTCTGTATTACAGGATTGTCTTTCGACTTTTAAAGTATGATGCTCACAAATGCAAGAACTGGGCAGATCACCTCATGCCCATGCCGAACTTTTCCTTTTACAGGTAATCTGTGGTATCGCCAGGGAATCACACCAAGCTACCCTCAAGGCTCCAGCTGGGACCACATTTCAAACAACGTCCGCAAAGTGTCCGTTGGGCCTTTGGACCAGGTCTGAGTGCGCCGTCAAAGTATCTCTTTGGAACGATGACTGAAGGGGACACGATAAACTTGTTTTGTAAAGGATTGTTCACTAAGGTTGTTTATTTACCTAAGGAAAGGGCATAGAACACCCTGATCTATGGTGACTAGTCCCTATAGTAAGACAGGGAGGTCCAACAGTAGGTGGCGCCAGAGCCAATGACAGGCAGAGTCAACTAATTCTGGTTTTGCCCCCATCCTCTTCCTTGCTGAGTTCTATAAGGGCAGCACTAAGGAGGATGAAGCTGACAACCAGGGCCCACCCCCTGGGCTGATAAGTAGGCAGGTGGGGGCCAACTGAGAGCAGCCTAGGGTTGGTGGGGCAGGGGCATACTTAATAATAATAAATTTATTATGATGACCATCTGACTGGGTTGCCCCAGGCACTCTGGGCAGCTTCCAGCAAAATATAACAACATTAAACATTAAAAGCTTCCCTATACAGGGCTGCCTTCAGATGTCTTCTAAAAGTCAGATAGTTGTTTATTTCCTTGACATCTGATGGGAGGGCGTTCCACAGGGAGGGTGCCACTACCTAGAAGGCCCTCTGCCTGGTTCCCTGTACCCTCACTTCTTGCAAGACTTAACCCTCATGGACCTGCTTCCACTGATCCTGGCCCAGCCTTTGAGAGAGAGAGAGAAAGAAAAGGGGGTTGTGGAAAATTGTAGTGTGGCTCCTTCCACTTCTTTCTGTCGGTTTTTGCAAGTAATAAAGCAAGATTTAATTGCTTGCTGCTTCTCATTCATTCTGTTCTGTTGTGACATTGGAATGGTCCCCATGATGCGATACATCTACATCAGAGTGCATTTGTTTGGTGCCCGCCAGATCTTTTGGACTGCAATTCCCATCTGCTCCAACCAGCATGGAGAATGGTCAGAAATGAGGGGAGCAGAGTTGGTTTTAGGGTAGGGTGAATCATGCATTTGGACTGGGTGCCACTCTGAAAAATGCTGTAGAACGGAATGAGAGAGGCGAACCTTTGTGTCGCACAGGGCGCTGCTGAAATTTGGGGTGGGAGTTGTAGTCCAACGACATCTGGAAGGCCAGAGTTTCCCCATCCCCAGTTTAAAGCCACTTCACATTTTCAACCCAGCCTGAACGAAGATCCATTGCGTTTGCAACATGCGAGTTTCTCTCTTCTCTTTCTGTTTGCATGTTTTGGAAGCTGGCTGCAGCTTTCCAGCTCCCAAGCTGCACCCAGAATGAAAAGCCTTTCCACATGCATAGCTGACTGCACCTGGGAAGCATGTAAATTGCTACATGGACGTGCCCTCCTTTTGCACAGGGATTTTGGTAATGCGCAAAGCACCCCCCTTGGTTGGTGGTTTTTGGTATTGGTAATCAATGGTGTAGGAAGAAATAACATGGTGTGCGTGGCATCATCAGCCCTATTCCTGTTTTCTAGGTCTGGGTGATAGCTGACAAAGTACAAGGGAGCCATAGCTTGAGCTGTGGAACGGTCTGTCATCGGACAGGAGTCCAGCCAATGGAGCCAAAAGGCCATTCCTGGGACTACGGCATTGGGGTGAGTACCGCAATTCCTCAAGGACCACCTCTCTCCATATGAATCTACCCAGACCCTGGGATCAATCTCTGAGGCTCTTCTTTGTGTTCCTCCTCCACAAGAGGTCCAGAGCGTGGAAACCCAAGAACCTTTTCTGCAGTGGTTCCCGGTTGGAGAAAACTCTCCCCAGAGAGACTCGCCTGGTGCCTTCATTATACACCTTTAGGCACCAGGCAAAAATGTTCCTCTTCAGCCAAGGCTTTGGTTGATGGACATCCAATGGCCTTTTAAATGTGTTGTGGAAGTGGGGGAGATTGGTTTGTGCCTGTTCTCATTTCTGTTATGGATTTTGTGGGGTTTTTTTATATTGTAATTTTATGTTGTGATCGGCCCTAAGATCTACAGCAGCGGTCAGCAAACTTTTTCAGCAGGGAGCCGGTCCACTGTCCCTCAGACCGTGTGGGGGGCCGGACTATATTTTGAAAAAATAATAAAAATGAACGAATTCCTATGCCCCACAAATAACCCAGAGATGCATTTTAAATAAAAGGACACATCTACTCATGTAAAAACACGCTGATTCCTGGACCGTCCGCAGGCCAGATTTAGAAGGCGATTGGGCCGGATCCAGCCCCCGGGCCTTAGTTTGCCTACCCATGATCTACTACTAATAATAATAATAATAAAAGACACAAACAGCTGGAATTTGTTATGGGCCCCATTTGGAGAAAATTTGTAAGCAGAGCCGGGTAGAACAGCCACATGTATGGTTGGCAAGTGCCTAGACTGTATACACACTCACACACCCTGCACCAGGGGTTGCCAGTATGGTGCCTACAGGTACACATGTGCCCACAAAAACATTCCCCTGGTCCCCGGGTCTTCTCCACCTGCTGAAATTAGGACTGAAAGAAGCATTCCATTATAGCAATAGATCAGGTTGCTTGGCTGCAAGTATGTGCGATGCCCGTGATATTTTCTCTTTTTTAATATATATAATTTTTAATGAATTTTCCGTTTTACAATTTAGAATATACGTTTAGACAACCTTAAACTATCAATGACTTCCCTCCGTCTCTTTCCATGGTTCATTTTGCATACTATTCCATTATTACTTCCATCAAAACTAATTTACACTGTTGAATTTATCTTAATGCTGCCAACGTTTTCAAGCATATACAATTCCCCCCGATATATTTGGTAAACATTTCCCAATCTTCCTTAAACGAATTTTCTTCTTTGTTGTCTTATTCCATAAGTTAGATCCGTAAGCTGCGCATATTCCATCAGTTTTAAGTTGCCATTCTTCTTTGGTTGGGACTTTGCTCATTTTCCGGATATTTTCCCTGGCTTGTAAATCTGCCCACGGGTCCATTTACAAGAGAAAAGGTTGCTGGACTTAAGTGGACCATTGGCCTTTATCCAGGAAGGCTCTTCTTGTATTCTTAAAGAGGCTTTTCTTGTCCATGTTGGGTAGCTGCTGCACAGCAGAATCTTTTCAAAACATGTGGCTGATTTTTCCCTTTTCTTCTTTGGCAGGGAGGATGGGAGCACATCACAGTAAGAGCGAACGCCATGGAGAGCACCAAGGCTGTAGCCCAGGAAGCCTCCGCAGGGCATCCCACCGAGCCCAACGAAACTGAAACTGGAGAGAGCGAAGGAAGAGGAGACCCTCCCCAAAACACCGTCTTGGTGGACACGGCTCAGGGCTTGGACCGGCATGCTGTGCAATGTTAATGCGCTCCATTCTCTAGAGACGTGGGTGTAGCATTTTGCTTCCTCTCCACTCACTTCACGCACTCCCAATCGGTGTAAAGTTTCAGTGGATCTGTGCCTGTTTCTGAACACTTTAGTCTCGCCCAGACAGAAGAGGGAGTTGTGTATACGTGAAGGCTTACGGAGTCCAAATATGCCTAGTTCTGTGGTTGGTTGTAGACCTTTTGTTTATTTCAGTGGGTTTTGGGAGACTATAATAGAAGACCCCCCCCCATGCAAGCCCCCCCCCCCCTTGAAACACTGAGGAGTTTGCACAGCCACAAGCCTCTGCAGATCAGAACCATGGATCCAGGGAATCAAACCTGGTCCTCTCTGATTGCTGCGGGACTCCAGCTCCCATCAGTCAACATAGCCAATGGTTGGTGGTGATGGGAGCTGTAGTCTAACAACAACAAGAGCAGGACAGTCCCAACTTTCCGTCCTTTAGATGCGTTGTTCATTAGAACTGGATTTTTCTAAGTGAACCTTTTTTTAATGTTTGTTTTTGTGGGAGGGCGTTGTTGTTGGGTTTTTTTTGTAATTAATTTATTCTCTTCGTAATATTTATTATGCACAGCACTGCCGAATAGGCTACGACGATGCCAGATCTTCCCAATTAAGCTGAGCCCTTTTTTTAGGCAGCTGCTATGAAAACTGAGACGAATGTAAATAGGACTCGTGACGTCCTGGTTCCCCCCACCCCCTTTTCATCAAACCTGTGAAATGATGATCCCACTAATTTCATTGGATCTGCTGTGTGAGGTCAAGTTCTTGACCGGTGAGAATCCCTCTACCTTTTCGGAGGTGATTTGCTGAAACTGAACCTCTTAGGGTTAATCCTGTGTAACGTCCTACTGCTTTCTTCTTTTCTTTTGCAGTACCAGTTAGATCTGCTCTAAAATAATATCAAAACAAAGTTAAGTCAGCAGCACTGGTCGGCAACTGGCTGCCCCGTGTCAGTTGGCGCCCATGAAAAATCACCAGCACATCTTCTAACAACTGCAAGTGCGGCAAGCCAATAGAAAGCACATTGGATGTTCCTGCACCTTACAGCTCCTTGCCACCACTCACCCACTTTAGATAGTGCCAACCTGGCACCCTCCAGATATAGTCCAATAACATATGGAGGTCACCATATTGTTGAAGGCTTGGATGGTGTAACCTGGCTTGTAATTGAGGCAGAGAGCCAAAGCAGCCTGACTCCTTGCCTCTTTTGAATTGCCCTACCAGCCAGTCTAGTTGCTGATCACAATCACTCACCTGTCTTTCGATTTTGGAGGTCAGGCTGGTATGTAATTGCGGGGGGAAGAGGAAGGTATATTACAGGAGTGAGGAACCTGTGGCTCTCCAGCTGTTGCTGAACTACAGCTCACCTTAGCCCCAGCGAGCTTGGCCCAGGGATGATGGGAGTTGTAGCTCAGCAACATTTCCTCGTGTATGCAGTTTAATAAAAGAAAAATGTAGATCAGCTGATAACAACAAATATCGACACAACTTCACTTCTTAAAGCATTAGTCACTTGCACCAGGTGTGGATAAACTTGGAGCGTTCTTGTTCTTTGCTGCTTATTTTATCTCTAGCTCTTCTCAAGATGCACTTTAAAATTAGACCTTCCTTTCGGGAGAGATAAAAGATGCACGCTTTGTTCCTTGTTTGCTGCTGCAGCAAAGCAGTTCACAGGAGCCGTTTGGGCATGAACCATTGCGCTGCCACACCATTTAGTGCTCCCAGTCCAGGTTTGATATTTCGCAGAGCTTGGGAGATTTGTATTGCCACGAGTGAGGGATCTTGCCAGCCGCGTAGGGCACCCCACAGAATCATCTACAGTTGTCCCTAGAGCAGAACGTGCTTTACTAATTTCTGCTTGATCTGGACAATCAGTTCCATGTTCTGCTGCACCCTAAATCAGTGCTGGTAGAAGCATTCCTAGACGATACCACTTCAAAATGCAGGAGTGGGGTGTATGTGACCAGGATATGTTTTTTTAAAAAATGGCACATTTAGAGAGACAGACCTATATCCTCACTTCCCACGATGGCATTTCTGACATGTTGGAACCTTTCAAAGCAAACCTATGATTGCCTCCATGCATATGCCAAAGTGGTGCAAAGTGGCGCAGCTGCGCCATGCAATATTTTTGATGTATGGTTCAACATGGACAGCCCAATCTTGTGTTTGCTAAAAGGGTCTCGCAGGGGCTTCTTCATTAAGGCTTCCCCCAACGCGTGGCTGCCCTAGGCTACATGCTGGATGCAAGTCAGAATCCAAAGCAGGAAAATGATCAAAAGTTCACTACTGGGACTTTGCAGGTTGCAACTCTTGTACTTTTTCTTTTTTAGAAAAAACAAACAAGAACTGTGTTGCTAAGAATGTGGAAGGCACAGATTTTTCCCATCACAGAAGCCTCATCAGAGCAACTATTAAAGGCACAGCAGCCTTGATCAGAAAAGGAGCTGTTTGCTGGACATCTGAGCCAGGTGGAGTCTAGACCAGGCTTTCTCAACCTCGGCCCTCCAGATGTTTTTGGCCTACAACTCCCGTGATCCCTAGCTAGCAGGACCAGTGGCCAGGGATGATGGGAATTGTAGTCTCAAAACATCTGGAGGGCCGAGGTTGAGGAAGCCTGGTCTAGAAGAATGTAATAGCTGTGAGAGGTTGATGGGTGGGCATCTGAGTTGAAAACTATGCCTTCCAATTATCTCAGGAGTGGGAAACCTTTTGACCCTGCAGATGTTGCCGAATTGCGACTCCCATCACCCCCTTTGACGTGGGCCATGCTCGTTGGAGCTGATGGGAGTTGTAGTTCAGCAGCACAGGGAGCGACAAGGGTTCCCTGTGCCTGAATTAGCAGGCCAGTGGATTTAAGCTGGTCTAAGAAAAGACCTTGGTTTAAGAGAGAGGTGCGTTGCTGAAGGGCCTATTCTGCGCCGCAGGAATCCTGGGATTAATTTCATTGACTCCATCGGTCTGAGCCAGGAGAACATTTTGTGAGGGTGAGGTTTACGTTCTGCGTCTTTCTCGGTCCCGTGTGATGGCATGCGGAGAGGGAGGAAAATTGCACTGTGGCATGTTTTTAGAGCAATTCTATATTTGAAGTAAAATCAGTTAATGTCGCATGTCCTTCCATTTTAGAGAGCTTCTATATGTAAACGTATTTGATGCCAAGTAAAAAAAAAAGCGACGTTTCACAATCAAAGGTGAAGACTGCAGCCTGCCTCTTTCTTTCTCTTGTGCTCCCCTGTCAACCTTTTCCACTTTGGAGCAGTGTTATTTTTGATAGCCCCCCACTCCAGTTTGGGGTGGGATCCAAATTGTTGTTTTATGGTGTTGCTTTAGCTCTATGGTTGTTATTTTTTAGCTCTGCGGTTATAAAGAAATATCTACGGCAATTGCACGAATCTCCGGTTAACGTGATGCGTTTAGCTCAGCGGTGGGGAACCTGAAATGCGGCCCTCGAGACCTCTCCAACTGGCCCTCCCAACTCTCCTGAACCCCTCACTACCTCTCCCTTTGCGCCCTGAGTGTTTTTGGCCTGGCTTGAACTTTGATAATGCCTCTTGCCTGCCTGGCTGGAAGACAGAGAGGGAAGGGTGTTGAAACTGGGCCTACAGTACCAAGACAAAATCTGCCCTCTGCCCATTTTTGCCTCTGGCCCAATGGCTAGGAATTGATCGATTATTTATGTACAGTGGAACCTCTGTTTTCGAACGTAAGCCGTTCCGGAAGTCCGTTCGACTTCTAAAACATTCAAAAACCAAGGATCAAATGCCTGTCAGCAAGTTCAGTGGGGGAAATTGAGAAACGCGCCTCAGAAGCCGTTCAACTTCCGAGGCACATTTGAAAACAGAAGCATTCAGTTCCAGATTTTCGGCGTTCGGCTTCCGAAACATTAGGCAGCCGGGGCATTCAAAAACCAAGGTTTGACTGTATTGGATTTATGTATATTCCACCTTTCTGTCAAGGCACCTAAGGCAGTTTACAGTTTGAAATCAATAGAAACAAATACCTTATTTTTCCTTGTATAACACGCCCCCAAGTATAAGACGCCCCCTATTTTTGGGCCCTCAAAATTAAGAAATTGGGGGGAGATTGCCCCCATGTATAAGACTATCCTCCCTTTCTTTAACATTATTTTTTAGTAAAAAGTACGCTACATTATATATGAGTGACAGACAGTCACACCTTTCAGGTTCCCCAGAATACAGTCATACCTCGGGTTACAGACGCTTCAGGTTGTGTTTTTTCGGGTTACGAACCCGCTGAAACCCGGAAGTACCAGAACGGGTTACTTCTGGGTTTCGGGGGTCGCGCATGCGCAGAAGTGCTAAATCGCGCTTTGCGCATGCGCACAAGCACCGAATCGCAACCCATACATGTGCAGACGACCACTGTGGGTTGCGAACGTGCGTCCCGCCTGGATCACGTTCGCAACCTGAGCGTCCACTGTAGTTTGGAAAAGTCCTCTTCGTATTTATTTATTTTTAATTGGCACTCCGGGGTTCTTTAATTGCATAAATACTTTCCCTCCAAAGTTGGCGTTCTTAAAAGTAACCCAATCTCAGTGTGCCAACTTCCCCTCCAGCATTTTTCTCCCTCCAGTGCCATTAAGAAGCAGAGCCTAACAAAGGCAGAGCTGATATTTACTCAGGGTAGGTATACACTTTAAGCAGGACGCTCTGTACCACTTGCTAAACTGTTAGTCTAGTGATCCCTTTGCCAAAAGCATTAATAACTTTGTCTTCCCCCTGCACAAGGACACTGTTATAAAGTAGGTAAGGTGATATCTTTTTTCCCCCTTCCTTTTTGGTTCTCTCGGGTTAAATTCCTGCCTGTGAGAATGAATCAATTGCTCAAGTTTCACAAAGCTGTATTTTTTTTTAATTATTTTTTTAAAGGACAGAATGTCTAGATTTTGTGAAAGGTAAGATTTGGAAACCAACCTTCAAGCTAGACTTGCGGGTACTGAGTTCGAGTGCCATGTCAGCTCTCGTATGAAAGGAGGACTCCATATTGACTACGCTTGCCTTAGTGTATGCCCAAAGACCTGTTGCACGTAGCAGAACCTGCGCACCATTCTTTCTGAAAATGAAGCGCTGTGGTTTTCAGTGTTCCTAATTCTTAGCTTTCATAAAATCATAGATTTGTAGAGTTGGGAGGCATCACAAGGGCCACCTAGCCCAACCCCCAACGTGGGGCTTGAACCCACAACCCTGAGATTAATGAGTTTCATGCTCTCCCGACTGAGCTTTTCCAGCCTGTCAAGCATACAGAGCAACTCCTCGGTATTTTCCCCATGTGCCTTCTCCAGTGTAACCCTAGGAGCCAATCCTTAGCAGCTGACTCGCCTCATTTCACTCTCATTGGCTCCAATCTTTTACTAAAAAAAACCTGATTGGTTGGCTCTAAGACACTGGAGTCTGAGGATGGATCTACACACATTGGGGAAACGCTATGATTAAGTCAGAAATTAAATCATCGTAGCAAAAGAAAAAAAACGCTATGGAAAATCACAGGTTTTTTTTACTCTCCAGCGCCATCTGGTGTTGCATGTTTATAACACATTCAAAAAGCTGTGTTTTGACTAATGTAACTGAGTCCTGAGACACTGCTGCAGGAATAAAAAGGTAAAGGGACCCCTGACCATTAGGTCGTTATGGTCGACTCTGGGGTTGTGGCGCTCATCTCGTTTTATCGGCCGAGGGAGCCAGCGTACAGCTTCCGGGTCATGTGGCCAGCAGGACTAAGCTGCTTCTGGCGAACCAGAGCAGCGCACGGAAACGCCGTTTACCTTCCTACCGGAGTGATACCTATTTATCTACTTGCACTTGAACGTGCTTTCGAACTGCTAGGTTGGCAGGAGCAGGGACCGAGCAACGGGAGCTCACCCCGTTGCGGGGATTTGAACCGCCGACCTTCTGATCGGCGAGTCCTAGGCTCTGTGGTTTACCCACAGCGCCAGCCCTTCCCTGTGATCCTGGCCACTACACCTCTGTTGACCACATATTAGCCTGCCACAGAGCTACTTCCGTCCTGTGGATTACAGTGGATGGCAACCACACCTTTGCATAAGCTTACAAGGGCTATGCATGTACAGAGGATATAAGCGAGATACAAACACAGCCACATGCTTCCAGGGAAAGCCTTTTAAAATGACCCAGACCATCAATCGAGCAAAAGCGAGACAAACGTTGCAAATCTGTGGGCACAACTTCTCAGATACAGACTTCCATTGATTTCAGTGGGGCTGGTTGAGTCCCGAGAAAGTCCTATTGAAAGCAACAGAAAGGAATTCCTTAGCTGCTGCTCAGCGATTTAATGTTCTGTCACATCCAGTTAGACATTAGCTCTGGCGCTCTCTCTCTCTCTCTCTCTCTCCTTGGCTTGCGTCCAGAGTTATGTTAGCCAATCAGATGTGACATTTGAACTCAAAATGCCACTCGAATACAATCCAGGGTTCTGTATGTGCGTGAATATAGACGAGAGATTGTCTATAGGAAAGGATCAAACACTTGGTGGCAGATCAAGTTCCCTGCAGATCCTATTAAAACCATTTTGCCCACAGTGAGGGCTGCATTGTTCATGCTCATTTTGCAGCCTAATAGCCCTTTTCCTGTTCTTCCTAAATGATGCAGATGATTTGACTTTTAGCAAAGGTGCCTTTGCCATAATCTCTTGGGAGCAAACAATGGTGACCTTTCTCAACAATTCTTCCTGCTGTTCTTTCTCTCTTGACTGTGTGTGTGTGTGTGTGTGTGTGTGTGTGTGTGTGTTTGGTCTTCTGCAGCAGCAGAAGTAATTTTCGAGCCACAGTTACCAATGTAGTGCCCCTAGAAGTTGTTCTACTACTACAACCCCCATCCAGTAGTGTAGTGGCAAATTCAGGGTCCCTTTGTGTAAGTTACAGCCCTGCCCCTTCTAAGGGTATGCAAGAATTCTATAATTATACAAAAGTGATAATTAGGGGTGCATTGCAACAACCAATGCAGATCTCCATGTGTTGCCTGTCCACTAGGCCTACTATGTTCCCTGCACGTACTTGTCCAAATGATTTGGAGTGCTCCGACATCTTCTTTCTGAATGACTTACGTTGTGTTTTGCATGAAGGTCCATTGTTCATAACAGAACATGCACACCATTCTCTTGGAATGGAAATGCCCTGTGTTTTCAGTATTCCTAAATGTTTAGCATTCAAGCATATATAGTGGTACCTCGGGTTACATATGCTTCAGGTTACATACGCTTCAGGTTACAGACTCCGTTAACCCAGAAATAGTACCTCGGGTTAAGAACTTTGCTTCAGGATGAGAACAGAAATCGTGCTCTGGCGGCGCGGCAGCAGCAGGAGGCCCCATTAGCTAAAGTGGTGCTTCAGGTTAAGAACAGTTTCAGGTTAAGAACGGACCTCCGGAACGAATTAAGTTTCTACAGGTACCACTGTAGAAACAACAATTCTTTGGTGTTTTTGTTAGAATTCCTGCTCCGTGATTGCAGTCATGGGATTTTTGTCTATCACATGACGGTGTATGTTTTGACTCCACAGAGTGGGAAGTGACAGAGACAGGATGTTTGTGTTCCTGTGTTCCGTGAAGTGGGACTATTGTCCTGTGTTCTTTCTCTTTGCTGTCTGATGCTAAAGAGCGAGGGAGCCATGTTGCAGTGCTCCGTGTGTATTTATATGTAAATAAAGTAGAGAAGAGAAGACACCCTGGAAAAGACCCTGATCCTGGGAAAGATTGAGGGCACAAGGAGGAGGGGACAACAGAGGACGGGATGGTTGGATGTTCTCGAAGCTACCAACATGAGTTTGACCAAACTGCGGGGGCAGTGGAAGACAGGAGTGCCTGGCATGCTCTGGTCCATGGGGTCACGAAGAGTCAGACACGACTAAATGACTAAACAACAACAAAAGTAGATTAGCCAAAATGCTGAGTTGCTGAGGTCCGTTACACAAGCTGTGAAGACTTTGAGGATCCCTAAGTGTGCCAATGTCTGTTGACATCGGTCGCTGTAATGTTCAGGCTGAAGCAAGCTTTTGAAGCTCCCGAATGAACGACCAGGAGGGAGAGAACATGCCGGTCGGGCATGTGTCTCTGCCAGGGTCCTACTCAAGTGTAGGACAAGCTCCTGACAGTTTTAGGCATGGACCTTCTCCAGAGTGACCCAAGAAGCCAATCCCCAGAGGCTGACTTACTTGGAGGAGTCCAAGATGGCGACGGCTTGGCAGGCAGGCTTCG